CACATTGACCAGTGCAGCATAGTCATATTAGCTTGGCTTAGACTCGAACATAGGCTACCGCTAACAGGACTCTGTTAACAGGTTTAATGTGGGCTTTATTTTAAACAACAACAGGAGGTAATTGATGCCAATACTGCAGGGTCTACCTTATGCTCCTCGTACTTCTTCTGCAGAAGTTCATCTCTTACTGCCACACAGTGCTTCAGAAGATGCAGGTCTGCATTGGGAAAAATCTGCAACACAGAGACAGACATCAGTGCTTGACACACTTCTTTACTGATTTATCTGCATACACAGGATTAAACGGGGTTTCATTCCGATGTTAAGGTGGATAAAAAGGACGGCCTTTCAGAATCAGAGCTTTTACAGTTGCCTTTTGTATCTCTGCTTCTTTCTGTATGTCTGCTTCTGTCTCCTTGAACCCCAGTCAGCCTCGGCAGATGGCCGCTCACACTGAGCCTGGTTCTGCTGGAGGTTTTTTCCTGTTAAAAGGAAGTTTTTCCTCTCTGTCGCTACAAGCATGCTTAGTGTGAGGGATTGCCTTTGAGTCAATGGAATCAACTGGTTTTCCTTAGATAGAAAACTTTTAATCAATTTGACTGTTTGATCTGGTGAACTGTTAAGTGCCTTGAGATGACATGTTGGCGCTATATAAATAAACTGAATTGAAATTAAATTGAACATGATTACAAAATAACATGTTTTCATATTTTTTTTCAATCATAAATTTACAAAACCAATCCTTACAGGAGGTAATATGTATGCTAGGAAAGAAGAAAGAAGTTCTAGCAACAATATCTACCTTTACTGCATTTCACCTGCTCTCCAAACAGATCACATTATTCTTGGTTGGTAAGGTAACCAGAGTTTTTAATCAAATAAGGGTAGCAGTACTCTCAAAAAAGTATTAATTAAGTTAAAGTTAAAAGTGCAGTAAAGTACAACTACTCCTAAAAGTATTTTTTCCCCTGAAGTTATTCAACTTGATGTAACTAGTTACTATTCACCTCTGGGATAATGCCAGGGTTTGAGAACATGTTTGGGTGTGTGTGTGCTCCTCAAAGTGAGGACAATTTGTACCAAAGTGAGGACGTTGGTCCATTTCTGTCATCTTTTAAGTTTATTTTCTATAATTTTTATGCTGAAGATATCTAGTTTTATGTGTCTTTTCCTTCATATTAAGTTTCTTACCTTGTCATTTTATTATATTGTCTGGATTCACCTAAAAGTTGAATGTCTGAAAGTTTTCTTCAGCTAAATTAGGATTAAGAGAGGTAATTATCTTTACACTAAAAAAAAAAATGACTTTAAAGATAAAGCAGATCCTTGAGCCTCATGGTTTTCTGCCCAAATCCTCAGTTAGAAACCTTGAGATAACATTTGACTCAGGTTTGACCCTGGAAAATGATTTCAAATCTCTAGTTCTTTCGAAACTCAGCCTTGTTGTCTCTCATCCAGAAATGGAAATCGTAATCAAGACTGTTGTTTAATCTCATCTAGATTTCTATCGACACGTTAAAACTAAAACCTTCATAGACTGTCTGTGGTCTGTGCAGAACTTGAATGCTCATCTGCTGACTTGATCTTCAAAGTTCTGACATTTATTCACTTTTAACACAACTTGACCTGTTTTCCCTTTTTCTATCTAGCAGACACCAATCCACATCACTGCACTTCTACATCCCTACACATCCACCAGGGCCTTGAGGTCCTGTGATCAAGACCTGCTGCTTTTCTCCTGAGCAAAAAAAAAAAAAAAAAAAAAAAAATGAAAGTAGAAAGAGCCTTTTATTCCGTGGCCCTAAGACTGTAGAACCTAAGCATTAGCTTAAACAATGCTTAGGTTCAGGACTAAGGTATGAATTGAGTTTAGGTTCAGGCTAGGGGAGGTATGCTGTGGTAATAGATGAGTGGATATTCTCAGGGTCAAGTTATAGAAAGGGTAGAAAAAACTGAAAATTCATGGAAGTCAGTGGGAATCCTAAGGTGGTCCACATCACATTTAGCAGGACGAGGATGTGTGTTTTTACACTGACTGACCTGTAACCAGGGGAAGATGTCCACCAGGCTGTCCTTAGCCACGGTGTCCACGATACCTTGGCTGTAACGCAGCATGCCTTCAAACTCAGGGTCTCCTCTGGAGTAGGAGGAGTTGAAGCAGAGGGAACAGACCACGTTGGTGACCGCCCTGGTCAGCTCAGGGGCCAGGTCCAGAGCCAGGTCGACAGCCGCTGCCTCCGACACGGTGGAGCATAGAGACTTGGCCTCTGCACAGACTGGGCACAGCAAAGGTTACAGTGAAAGAATAAGTGAATATCTTAGAACAGGAGTATTTTCCTACAGTTTGAACATTCAGTAGCCGAGCAAGAAGACAATGACAGCATGCAGGTTTGCATCAGAGCAGACGACAAGGAAATCTTTCAAAGGCTGCTCAGTGATGTGTACTCACTGATGCTCTCAATGGAGGCAGAGCCCTCTCCAAACATACACAGAGCTCCGTGCACTATCTTCCTGTGGAACCTCCAGGCAGGACTATAATCTCCAAATGCAATGTCCTTCCCATCTCTGGTCAGAACGTCTGTGGTTACCTTTGTCACACACGCCACATGCAAACACATGACATCAGGGTGGAAGGAGACGCTGAAGACAGACAAAACAAAGACCTATACCCACAGTTCTGGGCCTTCCTGCAAATATCTTCCCCTTCTTCAGTAGCACCTCTTTGGCGTGTGCATGCTGGTTGACAATGATCACCCTGTGGGAGCCCATCTTCAGAGAGTACGTCTGCCCATACTTCTCCTGGAGCTCCTTAAAAAGGACGTGAGGAGGGAGGGGGCTCCGCAGACTCAGCAGACTGCCGATTAAAGGCAAAGCCGGGAGACAGGGAGGCTCCCGGGGGCCGAGGGAGACCTTGGCTTTCATCTGCCACGTCAGCACAACCAGGATGAGGATGGCAAAGATGAGCAGACACCACCAAGCCATAGCTGTGTATGGAGGGTTCTGGTGGAGCGGCTGGGTCCAGCTGTGGCCATGCATCCCTGGGAGAGCTGTGAAGGAAAGCTCAGAACAGACGCAGCCCTCCACTTATATTCAACTACGTCAATGCCAGAGCCTTGACTCTGACTGTTTCCCTGGGACCAAATGAACGAGATAAGAGACATTATGCTGAGGGAATCCTTGAAGAAAGCTGCAGACGTGTTGGGCTGTGTGGTGTCTGAAGGCTCCAGATGATGTATGGATCTATCACTTATAGGAGTTCACTACAAGTTCAACCCACCCAGGGGAAGGGGAGGGTAGGTTCGAACAAAGACACAGTGAACTGAGGATCAAGCCTTCTGCCCAGAACTCTCATATCTAGAACCTAAATCTCACACTATAATCCCACAAAGATAATCTAGAAGAATCTTAGAATAGAATTCATCTTTATAGTCATTACACTTCACAAGTACAAACAGGGTTTATACATGAATAACTCTTATTTAATGCTTTTTAATGCTATTTTAATGCTCTTAGAAATTATCTTAATGCCATCAACAAGTACCCATGACTTATATATATTATATATATAAGTAATAAATATATATATATATATATATATATATATATATATATATATATATATATATATATATATATATATATATATATATATATATATATATATATATATATATATATATATATATATATATATACACCGCAAAAATCTTCGTCATCTTCACCGTGGACAGGGTGCAGCCATGTCCCGAGTTCCTTGTTTTCCTGCCACTTTGGTTCAAATTAGCATTTTTTTCCACATTCTCTAGCCTTTTCTCTACCCCAAGCTTCTTTTCCGAAGCATTTTAATGCCATGATTATCAAATTTAATGAATTTTAATGCCAACTTCAGGGAGACTGAGAGCCATCTCATCCAACATCAGTATGTGACCTCACAGATGCTCTGCTGGGAGAATAATCCCCGTAAACACTTGTTAAACTGGTCAACAACCAGAGTGGAGCGATGTGTCCAGCGCAGTGGGTGAATAGTGAGATAACGCTGTTGTTCACGTTTAAATCCATTATTATGCAGTCATTAATTAACAGAGGCGTAGCCAGATATTTTTATGAGGGTGGCCAGGCAATAACCAATGTAGACTGAGGGGTGGCCGAAAGTAGATAGGCACCCAAACCTCACGGTACTTCTACACTGTTCCAACAGGAAAATTAATGAGCAAAACATCCATATTTTCTAAATAAAGACAGAATATACTTTCCCACAGAATTTGCTAAGAAATAGATGAATATATTAAAAGATCTGTGCTTTCTAGATAAAAGGTATAGTGGATAAAATTCTTTCAGGTTTGAGTTCTGGACGAACATCTTTTCCATGGTCATTACTTACCTAATTTTTATAAGTAATCATTGTGCATAAAATTGATATTTACAAGTACAAATATCCACATTAATTGATTATTTAATACGTTTTTATTAAATATTTATTTATCTATGATTTCACTGAAGACTCCTGGATGACTTTTCTCTTTACCCCATAAAACACAAAATCTATTTCTGCTTGAATTCTGTATTTATCATCTTTAATGTTAGTATATCAATGTGCATAATTAACCACAGTTTTTGTTGTCAAGTAATTGTTAATATATGAAAAATTTAAATGTTTCGAATATTCCACTTAAGAGTATTATTGTTGACACCATCTGTATTAGAGGGAAATAAATGGTAGGGTGGCCACAGGGGTGGCAAATGAGTGGCTAAGGGTGGCCATTGCCACCTCTGGCCCCCATCTAGCTCAGCCCCTGTTAGTTAAGGCCAGATATTATTGGTGTTTCCAAATACTTTAAATATTTGAGCAGATAATAAAATGAACAAACTACTGAATGCACGATAGATTCAACATGAGAACCGAACTTTTTTTATTTTTATATTTACAACTAAGATTTTGCGTTCTTTTGTCCTTTTCGTGACATGCGCTTCCCGAACGCGTTGCTGGATATTTTTGGACCTCTCCGCGCACCGTCATTTTACAACACAGAAAATGGCGTCAGCTGATTCCCAGCCGCGGTTCGGCCAGTCTGTCAAAGGCTTGTTATCCGACAAAGTGGGCTCCTGCAGCGGGGACGTGATTGCGTTGACCCGTCAGGTGCTGAAGGGATCCCGCAGCCAAGAGGTATGGCATCACTTTCAGGGGAAAAACACATTTTTGTTCCTGACTTCTCTAGGCCAAACAACCACCGGAAACTAGCATCCGAGCCTTTACAAAATAAAAGCATTGACACTCAACAGTATCCTCTTGGAAAAGCTCGGTCATTTAGGACTGTAATTTAACAAGGATTAGTTTTCAACAGGTATCTACCTTCTAAGATATATTTCTTCCTGCTTCAGCAGAAACGGTTTATTATTCAAAAAGGTAAAACAGGGGCAGAGCTAGATGGAGGGGCCAGGGCTTAGCCAATCAGTGGCCACCCCTACCATTTTCCCCCTCTAATACAGATGGTGGCAGCAGTAATACTCTCAAGTGGAATATTCATTTTAATTTTTAATATATTACTTACTATTTTTTCATGTACTCATAATTTCTTGACAACAAAAACACTGTGGTTAATTATACACATCTATATACTAACATTAAAGATGATCAGTACAGATTTCATGCTATTATCAGAACTAGATTTTGTGTTTTATGGGTTTAAGAGAAAAGGATGTGTCTCTGCATATCATCTAGGAGTCTTCAGTATAATCAAAGATAAATAACTATTTTAGTAAAAATGTATTAAATAATCGATTTATGTAGATATTAGTACCTGTAAATAGGAATTTTATGCTGAATGATTATTGATAAAAGTAGGTAAATAATGACAATGGAAAAGAAGTTTGCCCCAGAACTCAATTTAAATATATGCGTCTGTTTGTCAGCAAAGGCTGTAGGAAAGTAAAGTTAGTCTTATCTTTGGCTTGACCCTGAGATTCTGGAGCCTATCCACTTTCTGCTCCCCATCAGTGTACGGTACATTGATTGTTGCCTGGCCACTCTTATAAAAATTTGCTGGCTACGCCTCTGGCCATAAAGAGATAGATCCCATTTTTTTAAGGGGTGCGGAATATCAAATAAGACAGATTTTTTAAAAGGAAATATTGCATTGAACTTTATCATCCCTGCAAAGAAGTGAAGAGCAAACTAAAAACTGGTTTCCTTAGTTATATGCTTTATTAATACTAGAGCTGGGCTAAAACAATCTGCTTTCCAGTTCTGATTTGATTTCCATATAATTTCCTAAAGTTGGATTGATATGTAAGAATGTATTTTAATAACAACGATCCAATATGAGATGTGAGTCTTGAAATTTAGAAACAATTCTAATACATTTTATTTAAAGTGCCTTCCACAACACATAAGAACACTGCAAAACATTATCAACAATACACAGTGTTAAAACAGGACAGGCAACCTGTCTGTTTCAGCTTCTGGGCCTGGCAGCGAGGAACATGGTGATCCAGGAGGACGCCATCCTGCACTCAGAGGATGTAAGTCATCTCTACTGCTGTCTGTGACACGTTTCCTAGCTGCTGGTCATTCATTCACTGCTGGCCTCTCTGTCTGCTCCCTCAGAGTCTGAGGAAAATGTCCATCATCACCACTCATCTACAGTACCAGTGAGTATCACCCAGCTGCTTCACTTTGCTTCCTTCTGTAGAGGACAGTCTATTAAACCATGTTTCCCCCCCTCCCCACAGGCAGGAGGCCATCCAGAAGAAGTAAGTCCCAGCAGCTCATGACATCACAGCATTGTTTAGGCTTGTCCGTATCTCTGAGCGGAGCCACAACACCGAGCCCTGACGTGTTCTTCTGCTCCTCATCCTCCAGCGTGGAACACTCCAAGAACCTGCAGGACCAGCTGAAGCACCTGCTGAAGTGACACACACCCCACCATGGAGGGGGGGGCATCAGCAGCTCAGCCTCCAACTTGTCAGACGGAGGAGTTTAACAGCTGCTCTGCTTTACAGATGTTTGGTTTCTAAATGAAAGCAGTAGAGCCTGAAGCAGTGGATGATCTACGCTGAGATTCCTCTGGCTTACCCAGAGCCCCGACACGCTCGGCCTGAACGCCGAGGCGGAGCTCTGATGTCAGGACCAACATCCAATCACAAACCAGAGAGCTCCTTATTTAACAGCTGAAAAGGTTCTGTTCCAGCTGAAAGTTCACACTCAGTTTTAGGGTTTCCACAGTTTGTTCCATTTCAGCATCAAAGCTCCCTGTGTTTGCTGCTTTTGTGGGTGGAGCTTCACAAAAAAGATATTTTTTTCAACTTAAGAAATCTGAAAAGTGTGGAATACATCTCTAGTTTACTAGAGATGTACTGAGGGATATTTCTTTGTAAATGTGAGAATAAAGTTCTAATAGGAGATGAAGAAGTTTCTGACTTTAATGTTAACCTTTAAAGAACAAACTTTTGCCCCATTTACACTAACCCTCTAAAACCAATCCCTGACAAGTTCAGACCAAGCTTAACCTTGCCGAGGCTGCTAGCATGGTTTCTTGCCTCCTAGTGACGATCAACGATACTACTGCTCTCTAGAAGGAATCAGACAAATCAAAATGGCGGCGCTCGTAATATTCAGGAGGTTATGTTTGGTTATAATTGTAATATTTCGTTTGTGGAAAGTCAGGTGAAGAAGGCAGCCTAGGTCGCACCATGCTCTTTTGAATCCATTTTATAAAATGTAGTGTTTAGGTTATTCGATTGTTGTTTACATTTCTTCTTCTTCTGATTTATGGCGGTTAGCAAGCAACTTATTGATGTGCATTACTGCCAACTACTGGAAGCTGACTGAAAGGAGATGACACGGTCTGCTCATGTGCTTTTTGTTATTAGAGAACTGAACCATGCCGAGCCCTACTGTTGAACTAGTACTAGTTTAGTGCGGTTCAGTTGTGTCTGGCACGGTCCAGTTCCATTTACACTCAACAGGTATCTCAGTTACCGTGATCAGACCGCACTTGGCACAGATTCTGAAGGGTAATGTAAATAGGGCTAGGGTTAAAGTAGAGCTGAGTAGCTTTTTCTCTTTGGCTCCCTCTACTGGTTATGTTTGAAAATGCATTATCTTAAAGATCAGAGCTCCAAACCAAAAGCATCAGAGAGAGCCGTTAAGCACCATTACAAGACGTTGATACGAAAGAAGCAAGAAGACAAAACTAAGAAAAATTAATGTCTCAACTGGGGATGATTTGATTACTGAAATAATCGTCTACTAATTAAGTTATCGATTAATTGTCAACTGACTCTAAAAAAACCCCGCCATGAACTAAAAGAGCAGCCCACATAGAGTGGCAAAAAAAATAAACAATTTAGATTTTGGATCAAATAAGTTCTCTGTTAATATGCTCTATCAAGAACTCCTTAAGCAGATTAGTTTTAGCTTCACCTTCCTGTATAAAATCTTCGTTTTTTCCTTTTGCTATCCAATAATGAATCAATGAGAATTGAGAGATCAGTCAATTAACAGAATCATTAGTTGCAGCCCTAGTCTCAGCAGATTGGTATTCTTGTCTTTTACACTCGGCTCTTGCAGCGTTTGGCAACTCGTATGTCTAAGGTAAAGTTTAGTGCTTAGTAACGGGATTTATAAGCTTACATTCTGACATTTATTCAGTTATATATTTCCTATGACATCAGAAATAGATTTTACTATGTTTCCATCCGTTGATCGATAGATCAACAGGGAACAAAAACATCGGATCCCTCCTGTTCTCCTGAGGACTGTTACTATTTAGAATCCGCAGCTGGATTCACAACCAAAGAGCCGGAATAAAGCAGAGAAGGTTTCTGTATGGTTCAGATGAGCCAAGTAATGACCGTGACCTTCCATTGGAGCACACCCACCAAATGACGATTCAGAGCAGTTTCTCAGCAGCCTGAAGGCCGGACAGCAGACCGACCCTGACGGCAGCCCTGACAGCACGTTCTGACTCGCTGCTTCAAGCCTCAGGTTTTCTTAGAAGTCTGATTCTGGACGACCTTCCACAGCTCTGAAGCTTCAAACCTGCTGGTGCCTGTGGTTCATTGAGAAGTGTACACTGGGCAGAACATTTAGGTAATTTTATTCAGGATCTGCATTAGCTGTTGCCATGGCAAACAGCTAGTCTTCCTGGGGTCCAGATGGAAGACTTAATCAGAGACATGGGCTCTGATTTAAGGCTTTATACGTGAGAAGGAGGATTTTAGATTCTAGTCTGGATCTAACAGGAAGCAAATTAAGGTAAACAGACTGGAGAAATATGATCCATCTGAACTCTGGCTGCAGAATTTTGAATCACCTGAAGGCTTTTAACTACAGTTTGTGGACTTTCTTAAAGTAAAGAATTACAATAGTTCAGCCTTAAAGTAAATGCTTGGAATAGTTTTTCAGCATCACTTCTGGATAAGATATTTCTAATTTCGACAATATTCCACAGATGAAAGAAGACAGTTCTAAGAACCTCTTTGGCATCGAGTTTAAATGACAGGCCCTGACAACAAATAACACCAAGATTTTTAATCTATTATCTGAGATCAATTTAATCCCTTAAAAATGAAGTGACTGATTAATCAGATTCTTTTCCAAAGACTATAATTTCTGTTTTGTCTGCATCAGAAGCAGAAAGTTTAGAGTCAACCAGGATCTTAAGTGTTAAAGATATGCCTGTATTCTATGGTTAGTTTCATCTGGATTTATAGACGGATATAGCTGAGTATCATCAGCATAACAGTGGAAATGAATCCCAGTCTGAATATTCTACCAACTGGGAGCATATATATGATAGAGAATTGGCCCAAGCACTGATCCTTGTAGAATTTCACAGGTAACACTGGAGCATGAGGAAGATTTATTATTAACATGTAAAAACTGACATCTGTCAGATAAATATGATTTAAACCAGTCTGGTGCTGTTCCTTTAACTCCTAGAAAATATTTGAGTCTTGAAATCGGATAAAATTACAGCTCAAGTTAAGAACAAAGAGATCTTCCAACCTTAAAGACTGGTCAATTATATAAATAATGCATAAAGATCTAGCAGACAGCATAATCATAGCAGCTGGCCAAAGCGGTCAGTCTTAGCCTGTAGCATAAGACATAGTTCTGGAAAACCTAAGATACTCAGCTCTAAACATTATTAAACATTCTACTTACAGTATTAGAAAAACCTAGATAAATGAAAAAATGCCTCACAAACTACAGAAGCTCCCAATTCACCCACAGCCTAAAGGAGTTCAGAGTCTACTCTAGAGTTTAGGGCGTAGTCTGTGCTGCTCTGTGATGGACTGTCCACCATGGAAGATAAGTGCTAGTATCACTTAATGAAGCAAATAGTGAACAATATACTGTATCATTACTGGAAGTATGCTTACCCTCTTCTAACCTGTATGCATAAAATACAGTATATATCGTTATAATAAAAATATATAATTAAACTTCTATTGTAAAAGATGTTTTTAACCTGAAATTGTTATTGTGTGATCATTGTATGCTGTAACACCAGTATTTATACATTTCTTGCAACTTAACATAGTTTTTAGATCAGTTGCTCCATACCAAAGTGGCCTTTTAATTCAATACATTTTTATTTTACCTTATTTGAGTCATTTCTTAAGTTTCACTTTACTTGGGTAGACATGATGAATTAGGGCTACTCTTAATTGAGTACAATTTTCCGATACTCTACCCACCTCTGCATATGGCATAAACAGTAATAGGATAAATTAACCCCACTTTGGGATTTGTAAAGAAATTGAATGCACCATTGTGTCAATATATTAATAACCTTAACTTGTGATGCTTAGAGTAGAAAAATGTTAATTGTTTTTTTAAACCTTCCTGTCACATTTGACAGACTGAGCTCGTCATCTCACAGCTTGAAGTTCATACAGATATTAAAGTCTTTGCTCTTATAATGGAATATCCTGTGGGCTGGAATATCTCTGTAATATTCTTAGTTTCATTACAATAAAGCATCCCAGTGTTCTGATCTGGGCCCTCTTAAGTATTCTTTGGCTTCTGTGGTTAATTTTGAACAAATTTGTTTTTATTAACCTGTATAAGATCATCCAATTTTCTTCTAAATCTTCTGAAACAGTTATGCAAAACACAAATAATAAACTTCCTAAATCAAAATAATACAGATTTATTTTTAATTGAAAACCCCTGATCTTCTAGACATTTACCTTTGTTTGCTAACATTAAACTGTTGCCTTTACAGATCAATCCTCTGTGAGTTAAATATTTGAAATGTTAATGATATTTGAAGCATAAATGTCTGTGCAAGATTTTACAGCAAATAAATAAAACATTTTTACTAATTTGTTTTGTTCCAAAGTTGTGGGGTGTTCTACATAGATTTTGTCTATGATAGCATAAGGGAGGTTACAGTTGTAATAAGTTGCAATAATAACTGAAGTTTGATGCTTTGTTGAAAACCATCAAACAAAAGAGTTTACTGGAATGATTTAAAAGTATTCTTTTCTTTTTATATAAACCTCAACAAAAAAAAAAAACAATGTTTATGTCTGACTCGTCCTGATGAGCTGTTCAAGGCCTCCCCGGTTTTTTTGTAAACGCCTCTGCACTCCTGTGCTTGTTAATAAGTCTGAGCTGTGCCATGATCTGAACCACATAAAGGAACGTAAGACAAAAACCGGGCTAAAAATACCCTGGTCGCCTCTGAGCGATGCGCTGAAGGTGTCGCCAGATTTACTGGAAATGCAAAACATGAAGTGTGTTCAACGAGATAGTAAAGAGAGCAAGAATTAAAGTTAAATGGGGTGATTCTTAGTTTCACGGCTAAACTGACTTTATATTTTGGGTCTGATGCTTTTGCATGATTTTCTTAAATAAACTGAAAGTTAGAGCTCTTTATTTATCAAATCTACTGAAAGAATTGCAATGTCTTATTTTAATGCACTTACACAGAAAATTGTCAGTTTCAAAGTATTTTTACAAAAATATCTGATGAAAAATTTTCACAACTGAAGGTGAATTGTAGATTTCCTCTTTCTTATTCAAGCATAACCAGTTAAAAATGTGATTTATTGCAAGTATTTTGAGCCTGATTGAGAAGTGTTCCTTTTATGGTAGAACAGCTCAGCGCATAGTGACAACCAGACGTCACCCTGCTGTAGATGTTCTCCTGTTTCTACTGGCCCTCGACCATCTTTGTCTGGCTGGTATGCATCTATGCACGATCCCGTGACACCACCTGTTCTAAATATAAACATCCCAGCAGTGTGCTCCACTACTAAGGTGACATTATGCAATACTTATCAACATGCTACTGGTGAAAGATCTCTTAGCGTATGAGCTGTGGACGTGTCAAAGTCTTTGTGATATTTTGGTTGACCCCGAAGAAGTTATCAAGGATGGTTGGAGGACAGTGAGACGCAGCTCGTCATTTGAGACCAGTGCTGCTGTAGAGCATCAGGATTTTCTCCCAGAGGCAGAAATCTGGAGATAAAGACCTTACAAATTTTCTTAGACCTGAAATTATTCACATAAGACATTTAGTCGAGGATGGGTAATGGAATAAATAAGGTACAGTATCATGAAGAATTAGTTTAAATCACCTAAATCCTTTTTGCATTGTCCTTTCAGCTCTAATTCCTCTTTCTTTTTAGATCTTACCAGACCTTTATCTTGGCAATGTTAAAGGTAAGTCATCATGTGAGTGAAGAAAAGATTCCTTTTTTCATCATTTTTAGGATAACGTAGTAGAACACGTTTCAGTTCCTCATATGGAGAAGCATGTGGTGAATTGCTACACTGAGCTTGGTTTCTATAGAGTAGAGAGGTCACAGTGTGAAGCTGAATGATTGAAGTGCTGCATTTTGGGAAAAAATAAAAAGCTTTTACGGTACTGTTTTTGTCTTTACTGAAGTGTTTCCGCTGTGTTCGAGGTGTGCAGCTGCTGGAGGAACATAAATCTTGACAATTGTGAATATGAAGAGTGTAGGCGTGGGAGGGGATGCCCCACGCTGTGGGGGTGTCCCTGATGTAAGCTGCATTCCAAATGTTTCCACAAAACAAACGCAAGCAAGAGGTTGTTGTTTTCTTACATTATAAATATATATACGGCACACGTTGAACCATAAACACGTAGGCGGTGGTATGAAAACATGGGGAAGAGTTTTTGTAAACGTAACCTGTTCTAAAAAATGCTGCCAAATAGGAAAAATAAAACCTTTCATGTTATCGGGGCCTTTTAAGTCCTTTTCTGTTTGTCACCTAGCAAATTCAAAATAGCTTTGTGTTAGAAAAGAAAAATGCTATGCAAGTGTTGACGCCTCAGGGTTACCTGTCATGCATTATACAAAAAAAGAGGTATAACTCATGTACCAATATTTTACACTAAGTATTAGTATTAACTTTATTTTATAGATTGTGTGCACAAACAAGACATTTTACTTCTGTAACAGTCCTGATGGAATGCAGACATTAGGTCTATATACTAATATAAACAACATATTTGGTTTTTATAATATCCTAATGAAGGAAAAATGTTGGGTTGGTTCTTGAGCAGAAGATGCTCCCCGACCTCACCTGCTGCTACCACTCAGAGAGTTGGTGATCCAATGACAGGTGGGGGCTGGTGAGCAGGGTGAGCTTCTGGTGGATAATAATGCGCGGGTTAATGGTGTTGAAGATGAAGTCCACTAACCTATCATGATGGTGGAGGCAGTTGTCCCACATTGACTGCCCAATGCAGCAGTCCAGCAGGAGGCCTGTAATGTCATTAATAGTCCTCAGCAGCAATTGCTCAAAGGGTTTCATGACCGCAGAGGTCAGACTGTCAGATCTGTTGTAATAACTACATACAGTGATGATATCTATGAAGAGCGAAGTCCTGATTTGTATGTCTGCTATACTTTTTATTTTTACAAAAGTGACATTTCTCCTAGTAACAATAGTCATCAGGTCGCTAATTTATGAATTTTAATTGTAAATCAAACTCTAATCAAGTGGTCTGAATGCCTTCATCTTACTTTTGAAACCAAACTTAAGTCAAACTGTGAAACTATGGTCAAGCTAAAATCTGGGGAACAAATGAAATACCAAATAAACTAAGAAGCAATACACAAACAAACAGCAAAGTATGGCTGTAAATGAACTAAAGTGCTCAGATGGTTGCAGTCCATCACCAAGCAGTCACTTCAAAACTGGATCTCTCACTTGTGTTCTTCGTCTGAGTAAACAGACAAAATGAAAGTCGTATGAAATAAATTAAATCCATCGATAACTTTCTGTAACGGTTTCACTGACTGCTGTAAAAACCATCATATGCTAAAAATTACAGATATGAAACTTATATTAGTTGTATTTTAGATATTTATATTTTGTCACCCTGGGTCAATGAGGATCAACTTCTTAATTTGGCTGCACGTCTGGTATATATAGCAAACTTGACACAACTTAAAACTATTAATGAGGTTGTATTTTACTACCTAGTTCTGCTTATGGAGAATTTTTAAACTTAGGTTAAGGCATTCAGCTATTATTACACATATTGATTACAAATACCCGATATTTTAAAGCCTTTATTTTTGTATACTTTTAATTAATTATGATTTTTTTTTTTTTTTAATACGACTTGAAAATATATTTTAAAAAAAAATTAAATACAGTGATGTTTGCTGAATAAAGTATGTTCATTGGTCGCTATTTTTAAAAGATAACTTTAATCCCACAAAGGAGCCCCATTGAAATGCAATGTATTGGTTATGACCGTGTATATAAATGACATATAAATGTATATAATTGAAAAAATTGAATTCCACCCGGATTCTTTAACTGCAGCTGCTCTGCTACAACCCTTTATAGAGCACTCAGTGAAATACTTTCAAAATCAAAATTTCAAGCCAATAGAGTTATTGGAATCCAGGACAAGACATTACATTTTTAACATTAAAAAATATGGATATTTTGATGGAAAAAAATCATGTCAATATAATAACAGGAAACACCAACTTGCCCGAATATATTAAGAAAGTTAACAAAATTGCTACTATAAGAAATTCATGAAAAACACTCTGAGAGTGAGAAAAACACATTTTTTTTGCTACAACATGACTTTAGAGGCATTAATCGTGATACTGGCACTTACATTTGTTAACTGGGTTTATTTACTTTGTACTTTTACTTTTTTATCATTCAAGGGCTCATCTAATTGCTCAAATAGCCATGTAGCAGTATCTTTAATGAATGGCTCGATATAGATGTTGTGCTTAGGCTAATTTAGCTACATGAAGTACAGTATTTTCAGCTGTCTTTGTCCTTCAGGAAACATTGTGCATGTCCTTGAACACTATTAAGAAGATAAATATATGCCTTGATAAGTTGTGGATAAAAATAGAGATGTGAAAGCCTGTTTATTCTCTGCTGTGCTGAGTTACTCTGCCTTTTACTAAAACAAAGGAATCCTATTATCCTTCCAATAGATGCCATCATCCAAGATCAACGTGTTCAGATGTCACAGTGTTGTATCAAACAAATTTGATAAAGCTCTGAAAAAACAAATGATTAAAAATGTTTAAATGATTTGTTATTGTTTATTAAACCTGTGAGTTTATAAGAACAGAGTATTTATTTAAAATAATGAGCCGATTGGGAGCAAAAAGCACAAGAAAGATCAGGCAGCACATCCTAACAACAATACCCAACAGTGCAATTTACCAATAATAATATTATTAAAATAACAAAAACAACAAACAGAATAAATTTGAACACTTAATATGTTAGCTGAAACGTGTGCAGGTTTCAGAATTAAAGACAATTAATCAAATCAGAGTATTGTAAAAGTTACAGTAGGCCTGAAACCATTCATAACCTACTAGAACTTAATATCTCATTTGTGAAATTATTCTTATTAAATAAATCCAATGAAAACTGCCTCAAATCAGTTTGATAAATTCGTTTCTGTAACTATCTGCCTTAAAAAATAGTTAAAAATAAAAATTTGGAATAGATTCCAAAGATCAGTATTGTCCATGCACACCAATATTAAGTCTATAGGTACCATTAATGTTTAGAATTCTGGTTCAGTTCCTTTACTCTCACTTTTCAAATTTGAATCACTTTCCAGTGCTGATTAATTCAATTCAGTTTATTAATATAGTGCTAATTCACAACACATGTCATCTCTAGAGTCCTTACAGGGACAGTTTAACAAGATCACAAAGTCAGGTTGGTTCAAAGTTTTCTATCTAAGGAAAACCAGCTGCTTGCATGGACTCATTGACTCGACACCAATCCCTCACACCAAGCATGCAACTAAGAGCCTTGTGGAGGTCAGGCTAAAGCTGCTTCAAAGCAATGCAATATTTTTTGCAGTCATTTTCTGTTCAGATGAGTTTGGTTACCAGCCTTCAATGAATATTCTTACATTAAAAACCAAGCCAAAGGTGGCAAGGTCAATTTTATAGTAAGTAGGGTTCTGCAGGCCATGCATTCATGATGGGGTCTGTCAAACTAAAGCCAAAAAAATGTTTGCAGATTAACTGAATATTTGATCTTTTTTATCACCTACACTGTTTATTTTTTTAAACAAAAAACTTTTAGTCTTAAAATCTAACATTTTGTTAGATTTATTTTTTGCTTTTTATGTATTGGAGAGTGTTTAGCCTTTTTGCAATGGCTTTAATATAATTTTCTGTTTCGTGATTACCCTGAACAGTTTACTGTCTATTTCTTTACATATATTTTATCATACATAATCTCTAAAGTTTAAGGTTATTTGAGGTTTGTTGATTATGCTTTGTCAGGGGGCTCAGTGAAGTCTTTTTGGGTGGCATTAGCAGCATCCTGCACACTTGCAAAGCATGAGAAAAAAAGAGTCAAAGCACATCTGTCCATCGTAGAAAAAATTTGGCTTCCTTTTAAAGAACAAAATTTGATTAAAACAATTACTGTTTCTTGCTTTTGGGCCAAGCTGTTGCACTGTTTTAGAAACATTGGTTTTCCGGTTTTTCTTTCAGTTCAAAAGAGGAGCAAAACTTTAAAACCATACAGCCATATTTGCTTGGAAGACATTGAGGGAGGGGGGTGTTGTTGGGCAAAAAAGGCTTTATTTAGGTTGCAGCTTCAATGCTGATATTTGTGTTTGAATGTAGAAAATATTTTACATTTCTTGATTTTTCTTTGTGAACCACAGATGCACGAGACCGGGATCTGCTGGCGCGGCACAACATCACTCACATCCTCTCGATCCATGACACAGCTGCCCCCGTCCTGGAGGTGAGGCCGCTTCAAGCTGGGCTTCTTATATGAGCCTTCATGACTCCATGACCCCAAGCTTGATCCACCTATCGAGCACACAGTGTCCTCAGTTGTTTCCCCTCAGCGTCTCTTATGATCAATACTCATTATGAAAGTGTGAAACTTCTGCGGAGCTGCCATGTCTCTTCAGAGTTATATCTCCCTGCAGCTAGGTATGGATACCTTTATGAATGAAAAAGATGTTCAGCATATACCTAAATAATTCATAAAAATATGCAATCCTAAGGGAAGACCCTTTGATTTTATATGCTTCCTAAAATTCAGAAAATTCTTCATGCAAGATCATTCGTTCGATAGGCTTAAGTTCAGTTCTTATGAAAGTCAGCCATAATGGACAGATGTTCATATTTTCATTTGTGTGACAGTCATATGATCTGAAATTGACCAAGTTTCACTAAAATAAGCATGATCAGTAGGGAGGCTTCAGTATTTTTTGGAATTTCAGTCAGTGTGTGAAAGTCTGCTTCAGCTGATGCAGCTGCTGCTCGATGGTATATTTTCCCCACAAAATGCTTTTAGCTCCGCACATCGATTCCTCCAAAACTATTCAGAATAGAACTGGATAAAAAAAAATACTCTGGGTTTTAGTTGGGGCTTTCAGATGTGGCTGCAAATGCAAGAAAATCCTTTTTTTCTTTAAAACAATTTTGATCAAAGGTTGGAAACTAAGAGAGATATAAGGTATTCCAACATCGGTTGTGCTTGTTAATCTGTCTGTCATCCTCAGTCTTCGCTTTCACAACTTTCATCTTTTCCTTGCTGAAAGCGATCGTGAAAAGTACTTAGAGTTTTCTGTACACTTTCTCCGTCCATGTCAGAATGTTTCATTGAACATTGAAGAGAAACAGCAACTTGTATTACCCAGTATCACTACCCAAACTGGTCAACCACCAAAACTTTTCAAAGGTTTTGGGCCTCAGATCACTTCTTAGCCATATACTCTATACTGTTATTCACTCAAACTTAACTTAATGTCCTATTATAAATTGCATGCCCTTTTTTTTTTCACTAAGTCTATGATTGAGGATGACTCAGGTCTTTTTTAGACAGAGTGGCCAGATGGGACGGTTTATTTGCATACCCAACAGTCAAACTGCTGACTGATTGATTTCTTGGAAGACGACGTGATGGTTCCTGAGAGAGGAAGGTAAAATTTGCAACCACTAAGTCTCAGAGGTCAGATGTGACATATAGAGATTCAGTTGTGATGATCAAACTACCAAAAAAAAATCCAGTTACATTTAAATCTGTTATGCATTTGTTTCTATTACAAATATAGCATTTGATTATGAGCATGCATAATAGTTAGGAATGGATACCTTTTTAAATTCTGGGTTTGAAAGGACACCTGTGAAGAGCATTAAGATTGATTTTGCAAAGGCACAAGATCTCAAGTAACTGCACCCATAGGGTCAGAAATTAAGTAATTAGTGCATAGCCTGTCGATATATTTTTACCAAAGCTTATGAAAAGTGTCTGGAGCACTTCCAGAGTATGCTGTGTCCCTGAGGACTCCGGGGTTTTTGCACGGGTGCAGTCATAGCAGGATGAGGTGGTTTCTGTCCAGTTTAGGTACCGTCAGCTGCCAGGTGCAAAGAACAGTAAAAAAAAAAACACACACATATAGAAATGTCATGATCTACCTCGCTTACAAGGCAAGGACTGCAAGGTTTCAGGGCAGGTCTCATGAAAAAACAGGAAGTGTGTTAAATCCACTACATTTGCATTCAGATGACCTCAGAATACAGAACCCTAAAAAACATATATTTATAAAATCTTTATTTCTTTATTTTCAAACATGGTTTAAGGGAATTTGTGTGAGTTGAGCTGTTTCATCTTCTTGCTTTTTTTCTGTGCAGGACATGACTTATCTCTGTATATCCGCTGCTGACCACTCAAAGCAAAACCTGTGAGTGCTGAAAAAAATAAAAATCAGATTTCGCACATTTGGACATTTTTAATTCTGGATTCATCCTGTTGTGCAACTCAAAGCAAAACAATAACAACTAAAATATATGCATTTGATCTATAAAATTTCTTTTCCCGTTTCTGTTATTTTAAGGATAAGCTGATTGGTTTAATGTTTTTTTTTCAGGATTCAATACTTTAGGGAGAGCATCATTTTTATCCATGAGAGCCGACTGAAAGGACAGGGCTGCCTTGTACACTGGTGAGTGCAGGTTCTCAGACACAAAAACTCTCTTAATAATACTTCAGTATAACTTACTTATTTGGAACTAGAAATGTTTTAGTTGTATAGAATGAATATGACAGAGCAAAATAAAATAATGCATACTTTTTTGATTGAATAGTGTAAATAATTTGTTTTTAACCTCAGTTAATCTAAAGCCCTTATTTAAATTTTGGTACAACTATCATCATCCTGACCACATGACCCCCATGGGGAAACATGGTCGTGGCAGCAGCATGTTATGGGGATTCTATGCATATTTCACACTTACACACTACTTTATGCTTGCCTGTCACATAAAAACTTTAAAAATATCAATTAATGTTAGTGGCTGTGATGTGAGAGAAGGCTTAGAAATGTAAGAACAATGCTACTCTTGTGAAAGTAAAATCTGTTGGGCTCTTTTTGGCATCAAGACCATTATTCTTATTGCCACATTGCCAGACAGGACTCTGTATGAAAAAAAAAAAAAGAAATGTAAGAGTATGGATTCCTTTATGGAGGCACTTTATAGAAAGAGATTATATTTTGACACAAAAGTTAAACATGATGAATCTCTCAGGTCTTTGTTTGGTTGGTACTCATTTTTTTTTTTACCTAACCTTTTGTTCCATTGATTAGAATGACATTCTTTTTAAAAGAAAAATGCAGCTGATGTTTGAAGGCTTTAAAATACTTGTGGATTACCTGGAAAACAGCCTAATTATAGAACAGTTGACTGCTTGTAAGGGACAAATCTAAAAACTTTGAGAGCTCAGAAGGAGTCAGCTCTATTCCCTTGTTGAAATAGGGATTTACCTCAGAATAACTGAAAACTCTCAGGTTTTATTCGTTCAGGTCTCATTTTCAGCCACACCAAAAAGGTCCAGACTATAAGGCTTTTTAGTTAAGAACTTTCATAGAAATTGTCCTCACCTTTCATCTTCTCTTATATCAATCAGAACACAGCAGTAATTTAACCACAGCTTCAGGAGTGGGTTTCACTTCATTTGTACACTAAAGCAGAGAATCTGAACAGGAGATGAATTACTAACTCGGGGTCTGTGCTTGCCAGCGTGGCAGGAGTGTCCCGCAGTGTCACTCTGGTGGTCGCTTACATCATGACGGTAACGGGACGAGGCTGGGTGGAGTCCCTGGCAGCCATCAGGGCGGCCCGGCCATGTGCAGGTCCCAACCTGGGCTTTCTGAGGCAACTGGAGGAGTTTGAAAACACAGAACTGGCAGAGGTTAGTCATCACATTTATGTACATTTAAGTACAGTTACAGTATATGGACACTGATTTTTAAACAATACCTTTTAGGGGTTAAAAGAGTATTTAAAGGGGTTCCCATGCAGTGCTTGGATTCTGATGCTATTCATATAGGTGCAGTCTCTTTTTTTTTTTTTACTAAAAAAGGATCCAAGGGGCTTAAAACACTGCATGGATGTTATACCCAAAGTATTTCTTCTCTGTTTATATATTTATACATAAATTATATTTATATTGATACATAATATATTTATATCTATGCTCTGAACTTCCATATAAATGCACCATTTGTTTTATTCTCCCACACTCTATATTTGATCACTGCTGCACTTTATGGAATGGAAATGTTCATTTACTGTTTGTATACACTCTGTGTATACAAAATGACAATAAAAAGTTGTCAAAGACTAAGTTGTCTAAGTCTTCTCTATTTCAGAAACAGATCCGCAGAGGTTGTCACACACCGAGAAAATTTTCTAAAATAGAGAAAATGTCTCTTGAGCTGCAGTTGTGTGGATGAGAATGTTTTGTTGATGGTGAGGTAAATTGGTCAGGCTGGTTTAATGAAATAGAAAACCAGCTGCAACTTAATTAACTACTCATTACAACCAAGATATGTGGAATACTAACTCTGAACACACAAAACAATCAACATTGAAACAAAAGGGCCGCCTGCAGCAAAAGATCACCTTGAGAGCTGTTGCTTCTTAGCTCAGAAAAAGAAGCTGATAGTGCAGACAGAAAAACAGGACAGTCAGAGATCCGAAAAATTTTGCCTGCTTGGTTTAAGGAAGGTGATTTCATTAAAGTATATTTAATACATTTATCTTAATATTTCAGTATGTTGAAATATTTAACAACCTGATTATACAATAAACAATTACTGAAGTGCAAGAGTCAATGTGAGGGCTTCAAACCTCAGAGGACCCCTGTCAAGCATGGTAGTGGTAGTATTATGCTGTAGGGATGTTTTGTGGTTCAAGTAGTCTTATATTCCTTTATTAATTATTTGCGTTCTTTTAAAGACAACATTAAATTCAGTCAGGTTTTATAAAGCTTTCCTGCCAGCGGTTAGCCAAATTGTTCCTTTTGGACATAAGTAGCTGCTAACACTCGGCCTTTAAGCTTTTAAGTTGGAACTGCATTAAAATCATTGACACTCGAGTGGTTAATGCAGAAAAATGTCTGAAAGGGTCCTATGCAATGTAAACGTTATGCTTATAATTCTGTGAAACATCCACATTGGAAAAGGTGCAGTGTGTCTTATTCTTTAATGAGACATCTTCCTCATGAATACTTAGATCTCCGTCTTCTACTCACCTTGTTCCTTCTGCCTGCCTCAGCACCAGAGGACTGGGAAATTCCTTCCTTCTGTCCACAACACTGAGAGTCCATCTTAGTTCAAGTCCAAAATCAGTCCTGTCTGTTAAAAATTACTTTCTCACCATCATGGCCTATTGTCTGGAACGTTTATGTTTTAATTGTGTTGTTTTATTTTTTAAATCTTGGTGATTTTCTTGTTTTTTTTTTCCTGTTTTCCTAATTGCACAGTGGCCTGTGTGCTCTGAGAGAATAAAATGTATTATACAGATGCTGCTGCTTAGGACACCATGTTTTTTCCTCTAAAAAAAGCATTAAAGGGGTCATAAAATGCAAAATTGTGTTTACATTGTCATAGATGAATAACGATAGTTCAGTGGGTGAAATTGACGTACAGAGAAGTTCAAACCCCATCGACACCTTTCTCTGGAAATCTAACAATTCTAAACTTTATCCATAAAACGGGGGAATCCAAACGAAGCACCGTCAAATCAACGTCAATTTGATGATGTTGCCTTATTTGATTCTGGCCTGTACTTTTGTCACACCCTGAAATTGACATACATTCACATACAGACTATGAAGACATTTTTACAGTCATCCCAAGGATCTGAAGATTCAACAGGCATGGATTATTTTTTTCTATCAGAAGATCCCTGCAAATTTTGATGCTTAAGTGTTCATGTGCTCCAAGCATTTTACTGAAGACAGCTTTCAAAATATTGGACGGTTCAAAGCAGGATTTGCTAAACTTCTTTTACTGAAACGAGGGGCTTTTCCGAGCTTAAGTCCATCACAACCGTAAGCTGTAAGTAATATTTTGTTGCTAAGCTGTTGATAGCAATGCTAGCATATCTATGGTGACCAGATTTGGTTCACTGACTGGACCGGACCGTGCATTCGAACCGAGCCAGCCGGGGATGGAGTGACCGAACCCGACCCGGTGACGGTTTGCTTCCCCCCATCTGCCTTACCGTGCAGGCAGGGGGGGCCTGGGGAGTGCCTGGTGTGTTTCGCCTACATGCAGGACTGTAGTCGACCAAAATCCAGGACAATTTTTAAATTCAACCCAGTCATTTTTTTTTTAGGTATGAAAAGTAGGACATGTCCAGGCAAAAGATGACATCTGGTCATCCTACCATAGCAACAATTGGATGTTTCAATAAGTGAGTGCTTGTTGCTATGATGCGTCTTTGCTGAATGATGAATCAGCACACAGCTCATCTAAATATTCATGAGCATACCGTAAAAGGAAGAAAACCTGTCGTTTCATTCTGGGGCTTATAACAAGGCTTGAATTAGTCATTTCAGCCCAACCAATGTTACACACCCTATTCAGAGACCTCAAGGACAAACAGCAATTACCCTATATAATCATTCTATGGCCCCTTTAAGAAAATAATGATGCAATGCAATAGTAAAACTGGTCTGGGTGTCTTTTAGAAGTATGTTGTTGTTGAAAACCAAACTCTAGATGTATACATTTTGTATCTATCATAACAATGTTTGATGAAGACTCTGAAATATTTTGTATTTTTGTTAAGTAAAAAGACTAAACCTGTATGCTTCCATTTTCCCACATCTCTAGACTGTTTGTGATTGGATGAACAGGGGTGTGTAAGCAGAGAATGGTAGATTTAACATTTGTATAGTTGATCTGTCAGCTGTTCTATTACAGCTAAAACAACACAAACCATTCAGCTGTAAAACCACATGTTTACAGTTTGATAATCGAATGATCATGTGACTTCAGCTGATGCTTTTCCAAAGTCAAGAAGAAAGATAACTCCTGAATTGATTAGGTCTGCTTCCCAAAGATCAGATTGAAGGAAGAAGGGTGACTTTTTAGAGTATTTCATAATACCAATTAAAACCTTTTTCCCCCTCCTTTCAGTATCGAGCCTGGTGGATGGAACAGTATGGGAAGAACTCCTTTAATGATGAAGAGGAAGTTCAGAATCTTTTAAATAAAAAATCTAGCAGCAGTCTGGGGAGCAGCAGCAGCTCTGCTTCTGCCAACATCCCCCAAGCTCTGGGAACAGGTCACACCTGAAGAGAGACTCTCTGCCCTCATCTTCCTGGTCCTGAGGACTGATCTAAGGACTGCTGGCATTGCATCAGCAGGAACATTTATCCAGGATTTCTCGCGTGAGGACGAATGGTTGAATCTGGTGTGTGTACAATAGCCGGGGGATTTCATACCCCTGTTGTCATGTCATGTCTTGGCCTCCAACTGTCAAAACAACATGCAAGGGCAGCCAAGCGTGTCCCTAAAGAAGTATGTACATGAAGTCCTGAGTGTGAGCACACATTTAGCAGCATACACTCCCCCCATCAGTTATGTTATGCTGTGTCTTGGACTTAAATTATGAGTATTAGTTTCTATGCAGAGTAGAAACTAAGAAACTTTGTATTTCCCAGCACAAATATCACAGTTTTTTTTTCTTACCTAAAATACTATCAATATTCTTTGAACTGATCTGAATGGTCAAAAGTTCAGTAACTGCAGGCTCCACCTAAAAAAAACAAAATAATTAATTCTTTGTTGTGTAGATAAAGTGCGATTGATGTTAACTTTCATCCAGGAGGTGAAAATAGTTCAGAACTTTTAAGTTAAAAACTGCTGAGGGAGCTATGATTTCATTTCGATCAGCTTTGTTCATATTTGACATTTTAGAAGTTACCTGCTTTTGAAACATCAGAATTTAAGATGCATTAAACGTTTTTTGTTTTTTGTTTTTATTACCAGTACCTTGTACTATGTACTCATAATTCTTAGACAAAACTAACCCCTACATTTCAGGGTTATTTTACTGGGACGTTATATTATATACATGATTGTGAAGCAGAAGGGAAAATAATGGAATTTTATTATCTTTTTCTAAAAGCAGCACATTTTGTTGTGGGTAGATGCTCAGGTCTTCTGATATATTCTCACCCAGCTTTGAACATGGGGAGATTATTTTCAATTCTTCTCTACAAATGGACAGGTAGTATCTGGAGATGGGCTCTGAACATCAAATTTTCAGATTCTAAATCAGATTTTTTTTCCCTCTATACTTTGACTGGTGTTAGGATAATTATTATTGAAGATGTGTGAGTTTATCACACCTTGGTATGGGCTATTCTAACACTTTATAACTTTCCATTGAAGCTCTTATTGCCAGTTTGGAGCAGGCATGTGCAGTTGGCCTTCAAAGGCCACTATCCTGCAGGTTTTTACATGTTTTTCTCTTTCAGCATACCTGATCAAGATTATTTTAGTTTAGTAAAAGCCTGTTAATCAGCAATTAATGAAAAAAATGCTTTGCTGAAGTTAGAAAACATCTAAAACCTGCAGGGCCTAATAGGACCCCTACAGAAACCCTAAATTCCAATTAACTCCAACCTTTTTATCCATCCCTGCTGAGGAAAGGATTCCCATAACATTATTTTCCGGCCTTGTATCATCATAAGGATGATCTTTTCAGGGGAATATATAGTGTTAATTTTTCTTCATATAACATTTCACATGTAGATTTTGAGTTTAATTTTTGTTCTCATCCGATCATATTGTTTAATCCGAACCATGACTAATAGTTTTCATTTTAAACAATTCTCCTACTTGAGTTCTTGATATCTCCAGCCGGGCCACCTGGCTGCTTTTCTGATTAATAGTCTTCTTACCCATCCTGTTGTTCCTTCCATACTGTTTCTATTTCCAAATGATGAATCAAATCGTATCAGGAGATGTTCACTGCTTAGGATATTGTTTTATAATCTAACCCTGCATTAAAATTTCTTCTCAACATTCTCCCCCAACTTTACTGTCTGCCTTTTTGTAAAGTGAATTCAAAATATTAGTAGAAGTAGCCGAATAAGTTGGATTTTTGTAGACAAATAAGTATTCAGATTTTTCTGGAATAGTTTATACATAATGTAATGTTGTATATTAAAATATGAAAACATTTCATTTTTAAAGGTGTTCTGTTTTTATTAAACAACAGTAAAGCATAGACAAGGTAAAAAAAAAAAGGCTATTCCTTTTTTTTGTTTTTTGCTGAAATCAAGCTCATTAATGGTAGCCGTAGCCTCTGAATGAGCTTTTAAAATGTTTGTAACAATAATTACAAAGAAGATAAGATTATATAAATATTAATATGATTTATAAAGCAGTTTGTAGGAATAAAAGGTAGAAACTATGTAAGTTAAGTAAAATTTGCTGAAAAATGCAAATTAGAATTAAGAAAAAAGTAAACAGGAAAATAAATGCAGAAAAAAAATCTAAATGTTATTAAAGAATACAACAAAAACATATTTATAGTTCATATAATAATAAAATAATAATTTATTTACTTCAAAATTTTATGGACACTTTCTCTATTTTCAGTACAGTTAAACCAAATACTGTTGGCCTATATTAGTTATCTCATGTTATTGATGAGCTTTTTTCAAAAACTTAAATATGTCATAAGATTATTTAATGTTAATATGATTTATAAAGCAGATTACAGTAAAAAAGCAGAAACTATGTAAGTGAAGTAAAATTTCCTTATGAAAAAATGCAAATCAGAATTAAGAAACAAGTAAGCAGGAAAATAAATGTAGAAAAAACCCCAAAAATGTTATTAAAGAATACAATAAAAACATATTTAGTTCATATAATAATAAAATAATAAACTATTTACTTCAGAATTTTATGGACACTTTCTCTATTTTCAGTACAGTTAAAGCAAATACTGTTGGCCTATATTGGTTTTCTCATGTTATTGATGACCTTATTTAAAACCTTAAATATGTCACAGAGCTTTTATTTTCCCACAGGTATATTTCAAACCATAAACCAGGTATTTTATCGGTTGATTCTTCCAGCGGGAAATGATTTTTCTGCGCATCATTTCTCCCGTAGGATCACTCCGCAGCTCAATTTTTTTTGTAAATCTTTATCATTTCAAAGAACTGTTTTGGTCTCCAGTCCTCTGACTTTCCACCGTGCGGCTGTGTGACTCTGCAGGCTGACGCCGGCAGGGTTTCCCCTGCTGTCTGTCTTACTGGAGATGCGCCGCCGCGCGCGGCGCTGATAAGCTTCGCAGGAGGCGCAACTCCGGCAGGTGCGTCCTCCTCCTTCTCCTCAGCATCCTCCTCCTGTCTCCGCCCCTCCTTCTTCTCATCGTTCTGCGGGGATTTAAGCGGGCCCGCCGGAATGGTGAGGGCTTTCAGACACTGACAGATTTCAAAACTTCACGGGTTTCGAGTTTCGCAGGTAAGAAGAGCCTCGAATCGGATCCAAGAGCTGAACTAGTCCGCGTGGGAGTCCACGTTTATAGCGATCTTTTTTTTTCTTTTTTCACTTTTACAACTTTTGATTGCGTGCTTTCACAGCCTACACATTCTATCACATTAAGTAGAGGATCTATAAGCGGAGTTTTGTTTTTGTTATTTGCGCAGAGATGAACTCTGAAGTGGATTACGGAGGCTCCGGCAGCAGCGGCAACGGGAAGCTGCGCCAGTGGCTGATCGAGCAGGTGGACTGCGGGAAGTATCCCGGCCTGGTGTGGGAGAACGATGAAAAGAGCATCTTTAGGATACCATGGAAACACGCCGGGAAACAGGATTATAACCGGGATGAGGATGCCGCGCTTTTCAAGGTACTGAACATTTAGGCCGCAGACCTGCTGTTTAATAAAATGCTTATAAATAGGCCTAAAGAATACATTCTAGTTTAATTTGCGGTGTAATTATAAATGCAGGGTGATTTTCTGCTGATCTGCAGAGTTTATGTAAATTTGTTCATCCAGAGAGCATGCATTCTGTAAACAGGAAAAAAAGTTAAACTAATTTCATCTTATAAGAGAAAAAAAGCTAAATGGATCAAATCTATAATCAGCTTTTTTGTTCTCAATTTGGCACATTTTATAGTTGTCTTTTACATTTAATTTATTTCCAACCTGATTATAAAAGGCTGCAGTTCGTTAAAAAGAAGATAAAATCTGAATTAAATCAAATTCCAGCCTGCATTCTTTCCCTTAAACCAAGTAGAAACTTAAACTGACTAAGTGAGTCTTTTATGGTCATTATTTAATCTTCTCCCTGCTTCTTGTCTGCAGGCATGGGCGCTTTTTAAGGGCAAGTTTCGGGAGGGGATCGACAAGCCAGACCCTCCGACCTGGAAGACACGCCTGCGCTGCGCTCTCAACAAGAGCAACGACTTTGAGGAGCTGGTGGAGAGAAGCCAGCTGGACATCTCTGACCCATACAAAGTGTACCGCATCATCCCTGAGGGCGCCAAGAAAAGTCAGTGATCCTAATGCCGTGATGCATGAGTTTGATCTGGAAATGTGCTCCATGTTAAACCCTTTCCTCTTTGCGCACAGGGCCCAGGCAGGAGGACAGTCCTCTGAGCCCAGTGAGCTATCCGATGCATCATCCCTACCCCACTGTACCAGCTCAGGTAATTAACATGCACATGAAAATGAGCAGGGCGGGGACTTGGAGGGACAGCAGACATGCTGCTGAATGAACCATAGGATATTGTGCATGCATGAATGAACAGATAAATAACAGCTTTATGATGTGTTGAATGATGCTGAACAAGCATTTGAAAACAATGTGCTGCAGCAGGGAAGACAGTCCTTAAAAAAAGTACAAAAAATAGAACTAAACTTTAAAAAAATATCATTGTGTATAGTATGATTATTTAAAAAAAAAAATAAGCTGGATAAATGTGTTTGTCTACAGATGCCACAGTTCATGCCAAGCCCTGAATGCAGCTGGAGAGATTACTGCCCGGAGCAGCCGTCCCTGCCTGAGCTGTCCTTCAACCAGTGCCCCTGTCCCCCACGCAGCCTGCAGTGGCAGACCCCATCCATGGAGAACGGTAAGTCACTCTGCTCTGTAACAGCTGCATGGGCCCAGTCTGTTCTACATCCACTTTTTGGCATGTTAAGCTCGACTCTGTTCCTCTTTCTGTGCAGGATACCAGCTCAGAGCTTCCATTTACTCCTACAGTCCCGCAGACAGTCAGCCATCTCCCTTCCCGCTGGACGCAAGCATCAGATCAGCAGAGGCGCTCTCAGGTGCATGAAATACACTTTCACTTCACCTTTTCACCTCTCACGCCAGGCGTGGGCCAGAGGCCAGATCTGATTCCAACAATTGCCTATGACTGTGCTGCAGAAAAAATGCATTCACTGCATCCGTTAAATTCAATTAAAATCTTCAATTATTAGTTGGTTGTTTTTTTTTCTAAATAGGTAATGCATAAAACTTATCTTAACACAAATCTGTTCAAGATCATTGTATAAAACATTTTCTGATGCAAGTATGGAAATGGGGTGTCTAAGATCTAAAGTATGACACCAATCTTGCAACACAGATCCTGTTTCCTAAAAAGCAGAATGTGTTTCTTTGAGGTTGCCTTTAACCTGGATACATTTTTCGAAAATGTTTTCAACAATCTGATTTTGTCGATGACAAACACATCAAAATGTTTGTTTACCTTCTATTTTCCCTTTGTGAACAGATTTCCGCCTCCATGTGTTGGTCTATGTACAAGACACACTGGTGAGGGAGGTGACCACCTCCAGTCCAGAGGGGTGCCACATCACCCCGGGTGCCCCAGAGAAGCCTTACCTGTCGCCGGGTGGACCTGACGTTGTGCCGCTACCTGTGGACGCCCTCTCTGCCCAGAGGAGAGCGGATGAGTGTCCCCCCAGCCCACCGTCCGGCCTGGAAAGGGGGGTCTTGCTGTGGATGGGTGCAGATGGACTCTACGCCCGCAGGTTTTGTCAGAGTAGGGTTTACTGGCAGGGAGGCCCTTCGCCGTACGGAGACAAGCCCAACAAACTGGACAAAGATGTCACCTGCAAACTTCTACACACACAGGACTACCTTACAGGTAACAATTCAAAATAAAAGTAAAAATCCTTTATAGATAGATTTTCTCCCCTAAAGATTAAAAGCGTCAAAGACACTTGTTTTCAAATATATATTTTGAAGCAAAATTGTGTTAAAAAAACTGAACTTTTAAAGTTTTCCCTACTCATTTCCTCTTTTAAGAGAACAAAAGAGGCTAACATAACTAAACTGATGTGGTTATAATCAGAAACCATTTAAAAACACCAAATCAAAGAACAGTTTTGATTGTGACATTTCAATAAGTACTAAAGTTCCAGCTCATTTACTGGAAAAGGCCCATTTACAGTGTCTTAGAAAAGCTGTGGTGACCTTCTTAAAGAAGCATTTCATGATAAGCTGTCAGTCACATGACTCTCTGCAGCACCACATCATCCCCACCCACATGCACTGTGACATCCCCAGCTGTGACTGACAGCTAATTGTATTTGCATACTTAATGTGACCAGGACTTTCCATTCGATTCACCCCAAAATGTCATGCCACTTCAAGAGAAATTCTGCTGAAATCATTTGCCTGCTTAGATCTACTTTAGATACCAAAGCTAATAATGAGGTGAATTCGTCTTGTTTCCCACCAACCAGAGATCCAGAGTTTCGGGCTCCATGGACGGCCGCCCAGTCGCTTTCAGGTCCTGCTGAGTTTTGGCGACGAGTGTTTGGATCCTCAGAGACAAAGGCGTACCCTCACAGTCCAGGTGATTGCTTAGCCCCATTTTTAGTGAACCTAACCATGCATTTGACTTACTGGTCAAAATCAAAGCTTTAATTTGAAAGGTTTCAAAAAATAACGCTGGACATTTAACTTTAGCTTCAAAACTGAAAAATAGGATTTGAAAGTCTGCAGGAACTTCTTCATTGCCAAGATGCAAGCTTTGGTTTCAAACTAAATTTAGATTCGGAATAGTTACTGAGAATCATCATCAGCCTTTTTCCAGCCTTTTTACCTTTCACATCTTGAATTTCTGAAACAATATAAAGTGAAAGCTGATGAATTAATTTAGGACATAATGATCAGAAACTACACACCCAAACAATCTCAAATACTCTCAGAGGCTTTGATTTAAAGAGGCTAAGGTGGTAAAATGTATTATAAATCAACACAAACACATAGTTTCTCTATGTATTTTGGATCATTTTCACACATTGTTTAGAAATAATGGCAAAAACTAATAAGAATACAGAAGTTGTTGGCCAGCATGTTGCAATAACATTAACCTTTAGCCTTCTATGATTGATATTAGACAAATACCAAATTGACCCATTTTGATTTCATGACTGCTTGTTAAACATCCCTGTTTCATTTTATATATAATTTGTGCATAAAAGAGTTGAAAGTAAGGGGAGGGTAGAAAAAACTGAATGTAGTCCAAAATGTTTTATAGCCTTAGAAGCAATAGTCTGATAAATGCACCAAGTCATCTAAAGCTTTTATCCTGTCAAAGCTCTGAGTTTCAAACATTAATCTTTAGCTTCACTGATTAAAACTCAAAATCACTGCAGAAAGAGCAAAATGTTGATATTGACCTTTTCTTTCTGCCCTGTGCATTTCAGGTGGAACCGTTATTCGCCAGGCAGCTCCTGTACTACGCCCAGCAGACGGGCGGCCATTACTACCGCGGCTACGAGCATCCTGCAGTAACAGAGCATCTAAACGCCACTGAGGACTATCCAAGAGCTATCACGCATCATCACAGTAGCAGCCTCCAAGAGTGAACCATGAGTGCCTTGAGTGACTGTTAAAAAAACCTTAACGAAGCAACAAAAGCATTTAAAAAAAAGAAGAAAAAAAAGAAACATGGCCGCAAAACTCGGGGACCAATGGTCAAACATGGACGGCAATGTACATAAACTGATTATTTTGCAGCTGTCGACCCTGTTATCAATTCTGTGTATCTACATGTGACAGAATATGTCATAGCGTGATAAAATGATGGATAACTTTTATTTTAAACACACATTGTTTTCTTAGGGAACTGAAACTGACAGCGACAGTGATTGTACAAAAAGAATTCTGTGCTAAATGTGCAAAATGCACCTTTAATTTCCCTTTAAGGAGATTAAATTATAAACTCCATCCTCGTATCATAAGATGTGAGTAGGACATGGTTAGCTTAGCCTTTGATAGCATAGCCTTAAAGCCAAACCAAAGTTGCTAGCGTGACTCCATGCTATTCTTGCAAAATCCACCAAAGACAAAACGTTTATACTTGTCAGAACCAAAATTTTAAAAGGAAATGTTTGTACGTAATTAACATCATTAAACATGCATTCTGTCTACACATCTCAATATGAGCTAGGATAACAAGCTGTACATTTTTTTTATTTTATTTAAAAACCTCTTGTAAATAGTATTTTTTTGTAGAAATATATATATTTTTGCTAGTGGACACTATTACTATTGTTTATATGAGAAACTCAGGGAGCTGAATGTAGATAAGCTTTTTAACTTGTATTTTCATTTATAAATTGAAAACTATAAAGTTTTACATTTGAATGAACCTTGGGTTAATCTGAATATCATTAACCCCAGTTTGTAAAAAAACAAAAACAATAATAAAACAACAATAAACTGTGATAAACAGGCTCTTTTTCATAATTGTGAGCTCTCTGGATAAAGTCAGTACTATCTGTGCGTGGTTTGAGCAGGAAGTGTGGTTCACATGCAGGATGACGCTGGTTAATCAAACGCCGGGTTATCGCAAACAGCGCGATGACATCAAGAAGGGCGTCAAGAGAGGAAGAGGTTGGCCACGCTTTCCGACTAGATCTGGGTAAAAAAGCCTTCCTGGCTTCTGCTTGCAGAAATGTTTCCACTTTTATGGGAAACAACCAAAAAAAGACACCACAAAAACATTTCTGTAAGGCGAAATACAATTCAAAACATGAGCAGGGAAGAGGATGTCATCAAGTGATGAGGTTAGGTTTAAAAAACAAGCCTTATGGAATTACTTTGAAAACCACCTTTAAAGCAAGTGAAGGAAACAGCTTTTCTTTCTCAGAAAAGTCTTAATCTAAGCATTTTGAACACATATTTGTGGACGTGAAAAACCTTCAAACAAACCTAAACAATCCTACTAGTGTGATGCATTATTTTATCACACTGACCATGTGAACTACACTTATACTAGATGTTATCAAACATACATTTGTGTGATAATATGCATATTTATATAATGAAGTTAGGCTCAGAACTATTCCTGGTTTTTCAATATAATTTTCTATGTATATCTTTGTATTTCAGATAAAAGGCTTTGTCATCACCATCTTTACCAGACAGTTGCTATGATGAGTTGCTTGCAGAAAGGGCTCTCTGCCTCCTTTCACTGATTAATTGTGACATGGTAATCCCCTGGTCTAATCCCAAAAACAGCAACTACAAGAAATTATGAGTCAACATATAGGTGAGGACAACTCACCATATTCTGAGAAGATGTGGGGATATACGAAAAGACATAAACTAATTCTTGAAAAAGCTGAACGCTTAGGATTATTTTTCTCTGCAAGCTCCATTTCTATTTGGAAGTCTAAATGTTCAGGCTCGGAGTAGGAAATTAGAACTTGAACGTATTTGGATTTAGCTTTCCTGAGTCCGAAAGTTCAGGCAACAAAACCATAAACAGCGTCTGTATTTAATATGCAATCTTCATATGCAAACCTTTATGCAGCACTTTTAGGTGTTTGTAAGATTAGACGTTTAAAATTTGTTAAAAAGCGCAAAACAGAATTAAACATTTTTTTCATTATTATAGTTGTGAGAGTAGTTGTAGCGACTATAAAACAAACAATCACTAATATGAGCCTCTAAAAGTGGGAAACTGATACACCAACGTCTTGGAGATTACATTACTAACTTGCCAGTTCCAAGGTAAATCTAACACAACATAAGCAGCAAAAGGTATATTAAAAAAAAATAGTAACTCAATAAGCATCTTCATCATATAAAGTTAGAATTTTTTTTCTCAAATATATAAATCGTTTCTCATTTACTTATGTATTTCTTTAAAAAATGTTGCTTATTTAATAATTTATAAATTATTATTAGGGCATTTAGCCTGCATGCAGAATTGTGCATTTAAAAAGTTTTGCTAGAACTATGCTCTGATTGGCTGCTTGATGAGGAAGGCGATAAGTTGGTTGCAATTTTCACGTGATTCTCCAAACTCTCTCTGGCGACTTTAGTTTAGATAAAAAAACAAGTATTATTCCTTTAAAGGTGTAGTGAAAACACCCGCTCTCTCCATGTTTTAAAAAAGAAAAGCACAACCCTGAACCCGCTTCAGAGAGGGAATGCCTATTAAATGCATCGAGAGCATGCACAAGCCCATTTCTCCTCGAGGAGGTGCAGGAATGCAATAAGACGGTAGCTCAGATGGATCTCATCTCAACTATATTCATATATAAATGTTTCCCCCTAAATAAGACTACTGGTACATTAAAAAAAGCATGACATTCTTGTACTTACAAAATAAATTAAGTTATCTTCCTTGGAAAGTTACAATATAGAGATAGTTAACTTTTACTAGCAGTGATGTGAAATGGATTTCTCCAAATAGCATGCCAAACTTTACCTGTCGAGTGCAAACTTTACAACCGAGCCATTAGTGAAAAGCCCGACCTGTGCTTTCAGTGCACGCCATTGAGTGAAAGAATCTCCTAAAAACACTCTGGTTTTGTTTCTCTCTTCTGTGCCCATTCTTTTCTTCTCATACTCTTCGTAGACAATTTTGCTCTTGTGACCCTCGGCCATTTGCAAAGAACCGTGTGAGAAAGGCGAGCTTCAAGGACTGGCTGAAACCGTAGCTCAGCACATAAAGGTGCACGCAGGACGGCCTTATGTAAACATATTACCCGAATGACTGACAATTAGGAGGACCACTTATTTTGCTGATCTACATGGACAAAGAACATCCTTCCCACTATACCGTTAACTTATGAAAATGCTGACTGGACTAAATTGCAAAATGTCTTCCTAATTTTCTAAATTGGAGGTCTTCAACAGGGGATCTGCGACCCCTAGGGGGTACACAGAGGTACTGCATAGGGGTCGCAAAAGTTTAGGTTGATTTGACGTTTTTTATATTCCACCACCGCAATTTTTTTCTACTAATTGAAATGTCTTTAAAAACACATTAACAAGAATTCAACACACTGTAGTAAACAGATAAATGGAGGCAGAAGATGTCTTTCAGTCATCAATGCACACATTCAGCGACACACAAGAAGAAGAAGAAGCGAAGCAGCGTAGCCGGGTGTAGCAGAAAAAAATCAGTTGTTGTGGAGTTTTGTGTGGGTATGGCGAGTGGGAAAGAACAGGAGTTGGAAGACGTGCCAGCAACACTTTATAGGTCTGCTGTATGGGACCACCGAAAACCGTGACCACGAAACCGTGAACCGAACTGTTCCACCCCTAATGCATATGTGTTATTGACCTTACCCCATACACAACAGTATCAGAACGTCTAGCAATCTAAACTTGGATCAGTTTATAAAAAAGGAAAAAAACTTAGCCATTGGAGACTGAAAAGTTTGTTATATGCACGGAGCGCAAGATTTGCCCTAGAACTAGAAAGTAGAAAGCGCAAACCCTGCTAAACTTTTTCCCACGCTAGACGCCAGTTTGGCAGCCAGAGCTGGGCCGGTGTTACACCATCTTCTGTATCTTATTATATATCATGACTCAAGCGCATGCTTTTGAACATTGTCCTCATCTTTCTGCAATCTACTAACCCTAATGTCACAGGAATCATCCCCAAACCTAACATCACAAGACTAGAAACTAAGCTGGTGATTTTTCTAAAACAATATTTTCAATCTCATAAACAAAATGTAAAAAAAACAAAAGACAATCAACAAGTTAGCTTGACTTGAACAGAAGGATTTTTACTTGATTTTATCTTAGCAACTGCTAAGATAATGACTCCTCATAAATATTCCACACAACCTCACCTAAAAAATGAAAGAAAGACAGATTTTTCTAGTATGCAATCAGACATTAGCTTCACTCAAACACTAGAACATTTTTATATATTAGGGTTGTCTGTTGCTGCATATTTAAACAGCATTTCTGTGCTTCTTACTAGTAACGGGGACTTTTTTCTTAATAAAAGAGATAAAATATGCTCCATAACAAAGGTGAGAAGAAACAGATTCTCCTTGGTGCATCAAATTTCTCCATCGGCTTATTTACCCACTCTGAAGAAAACATCACGTCAAAGAACTTTTTCACCTGTTGTTGTGATTTTTTTTCCCTCCTGAATGGAACAGAGTAAAAACATTATAAAAAAGAAAAACTCTCCCTTTTTTTTACCCGTTACTGTAAAAAAAAAAAGGGCCTGCTGAGGAGCGGATAAGGTTCTTGGCTTTGAACCCGTTTTGTGAATGAATCCGTGGGAGGAAAGAGAGCTAAGATTAGAACACAGACGATCAAAACAACTCTTGTCTGCGCTGCATGGCTTTCCCCTAGTTGAAGATGGGAAACCAAGTCAGAAAAAAAGCAGCCTCAGGTGTGTGAATGCAGACGATAACAGAAATCTGAAGAAGAAGAAAAAATAACAGAGAAATTTGCGGTTCGTACATTCAGAAGTTGAAATTTAATGGGTCAACCTCGGCAACACATCGAGTCTGTCCTCAAATAACCTCTCTCATCCTATCAAACCTCCTCATGTGAGCTGTAGGCGTCTCCTTCTCTACATGACTGCTTTCAGCTACAGCAATGCCCGCATTGTAACTCCCTACACCCACAGCCATCTTTATCAGGGATAAAATAACGAAGTCGGTCCCTCTTGACTAACGGCACACACCTACCCCACCCTGCATACGCCCTGAACCCAGCCTCCATCCTGCAGCACAAGATTCTGACATGATGGACAGCATGTGCAAGGAGACGAGCTGAGGCTTTAGAAATGAATAATGAAAGCTGCTTTTTTGGAACTGAATTGCACACAGACCAACCGTCTGCATGCATGCCTGCATTCCTACTGTAGTTCCTGGCTCACATCTAAGCTAAATTTAAAGTCTGACTTGAAATGGCTCCGTTATAAACTTTCAGATCTTGGTTCAGACATAGTGGTCACCTTATCAGTTACAACGGTTCAATTGCTTATTAACACACATCACTAGACAGAAACTCAACACAATTAGTCATCTAGATGTGGTGGCGATTCACTGAAGCTTAAACCGAGCATCTGAAAAAGGGACACAGTTAACTTGAAATAGTATGTGAAGACCCAACTGAGTTTTTCAACTGCTGATTTACTGGGATTTTTGCACGCAGTCATCTTTTACAGATGGGGGTGATATAAAGAAAGCATTCGCTTAAGTAACAACTCATTAAAAAAACACAAAGAGTCAAATCATAGAGCAGATGAGCTGTGAGCAGACCACAGAAAATGGGAAACTAAGGCTACAGTTTGCTAAGGCTCACCAAAACTGGAAAATTGCAAATTGGAAGTCGACTCCTGGTTAAATAGGTCTCCATTTCAGTTACGCCATTCATTGGTCAGAATTTGACATACATAGTATGGAATGATAGTATGAAGGCTTTCTGCAACACACACTTTCAGCAGGGTAAAGCACCATGTCACAAAACCCAAATAATCTGACAAATAAACCTGAAAATAAGATCCTAGTACCTCACAGACACCAGGTCTCCATTCAATAGAGCCTCTTAGGAAAGTGGTGCAACAGGGCGTGGATGTGCAACCAGTAAATCTGCAGCAGATGCATGAATTTCTGAAACAGGTTCCAGCCCCAAACTAGAGAAAAATACTTAAAGACATTGCAGCTGAGTGTATGACTTCATCAGGGAAAATGTATGTAGCTCTGATTTGTCTAAGGGTATTTGATGTGGCTGTTAATTATGGCCAGACATGTAAAATCGCCATGTGAGGGTCATTCACTGTTTATCAGATCATCTGATCTTTAAGATGTGATCTATCCTCTAATATTTGATCATTTATATAAGGCTGTTAGGTATCCATATTGTAATGACCTCCTAATGTAAAAGGCAAATTAAGGTCACCATCAATACCCAGGTAGGAGGTAGTTATTTTAGGCGTCCTGCCACATCTTAAGGGTGGTAGGACAAAAAATAGTAAATACAAAGTGGGAGGCTGTCCATGATGACAAAAGCAGATCCTGAACCTCTGTTAGGTTATCAATGATGCTTCTAGAAATCCTCTGCATGGGAACTCTGAGCAGTGCTTAAAAAAAAAAAAAAAGTCTTCAAAAGTCATCACCCTCCAATATCACAGACATCTCCTGTTGAACTCTGCATTGTAGAGACATGCATTTTCTAGAGACAAAAGACATTTACATGCTGAATACTACTAACATTAGTAGTACAGGAGGGAAATACCACTGGATACGTTTTCCATGAGGCACGTGGAAGAAGTTAGTTATATTTTTAATCTAGGAAATATCAATATTTTCTATGTTGAACATTGATTTTAATAACTTAGTATTTCCCCCCCTATGTTATGTACAAAGTTAAAAAACAAAACAATAGACTTTGTTTTCCAAGTTTAAAGATGTTTCGCTTCCCATCCAGGAAGTTTTTACAATTCAAAATTTCTGGATTGGCGTTGAGTTCCAAGCTTTATAAAGTAGCCCAACAAAGCCGTGTTATGGCTTAGAAAACATGCAAACTGAACCGAAAAAACAGGTCCACCTGTTTGTAATGAGGGGTTGTAGAGGTCATTGTTGGCTTGCAAGACCCGATACTGGCCCATGCCTCTGAATAGGGAGTGGTCAGGGTCATTATAGGCCTGGCTGCGCAGGCGAAATGTCTTGGTCCCCTGCATAGACACGAGGTTTGAGATGCTAGCGGGAAGGAATCAACTCTATCACTGCTGTTGCAGCTTTATGAGAGCATGAACCTGAGTCCACACGCTGTTTAAGGTTGGTTTTTCTCTCTTCCTTCACACCCCTTTAAACCGCCTGTCTCCTTTGTCCATAATGTGGACATTCTGGTCCCCGAAGGAAAATGTCCTTCTTCCTTAAAGGAATAGTACACCCAAAACATGATTAGCTTTCATTTTCTACTCACCCCCATGCTGAACAACACTCTGGAGTACTTTTTTGATATCTCAAATGCATCTGGAGATCTGGGAGGCTTCTTGCTCTCTGCTGACATTCAAATAATGGAGGTCTATGGTGACCGAGACAGAAAGGTCCATAAAAGTCCACAAAAAACGTGTCAATATTCCTCCATACTGCTCGTCCAATGTATTCCAAGTGTCCTGAGTGGGTAGCATCCAGAATTTACTCGAAACAAAGTCATTTAGAATGTTTTTAGAGCATAAACAGTAGTGTATAGGATTTCCTGAAAGCGCGCACATGCGCGCTCACAACGCTACGGAAGCCGGCAGACCAAACCAGATGAAAGTGCGCATTCAGTGTCTGCTCTGCCAATAATGCAAGCGTAGAAGAAGAAATGTGCTGTTTACCTGTGCAAAGAAACAACGAAAGAAAAATGTCTGAGGACTTCAGTGTTGAGGAAGAGCATGAGTTCTTTGCCGAGCTGAATGCGCTGGTTTGGTCTGCCGGCTTCCGTAGCGTCGTGAGCGCGCATGTGCGCGCTTTCAGGAAATCCTATACACTACTGTTTATGCTCTAAAAACATTCTAAATGACTTTGTTTCGAGTAAATTCTGGATGCTACCCACTCAGGACACTTGGAATACATTGGACGAGCAGTATGGAGGAATATTGACACGTTTTTTGTGGACTTTTATGGACCTTTCTGTCTCGGTCACCATAGACCTCCATTATTTGAATGTCAGCAGAGAGCAAGAAGCCTCCCAGATCTCCAGATGCATTTGAGATATCAAAAAAGTACTCCAGAGTGTTGTTCAGCATGGGGGTGAGTAGAAAATGAAGGCTAATCATGTTTTGGGTGAACTATTCCTTTAAGGTGTAGGTGGACAGCAGAGTCTTGTCCAGGGGAGTTCGCTCTTCTGTGTTGGGCCATGCGTCTGTGGAGAGGTGGTTTGTTTTCTCCAATATAAAGATCAAAGCATTCCTCACTGCAATGAACTGCATACACGACTCCGCTCCTCTTAGGTCTGGGGATTCTGTCCTTATGATGCGATAGCCTCTTTCTAAGGATCTTGTTTGGTTTGAAATGTGCTGGAATTTTTGTGTTTTTGGAGAAAATCTTCTAGAGTTTTTCAGAGACTCCAGCAACATATGAGATGATGTTTTTTCATTTGATCTTCTCCCCGTTATTTTCTGCTGCAACTTTGTTGGAAGGACTATGACCTGGATGATTTCAACAGCATATCCCCTCTGTTAAGAACCTCTTCGAGGAGAAAAATGTCTTTCCTGAGGAATTCTGCATGTCCACCTGATCTCCATTTTAGGGTTTCCAAAACGATTGCAAGGGAGGTTTACGACCAAAAAATAAATAAAAGTCGGTTCTTGACCAAAGACGCCCTTTCCAGTAGCTTATTGGACACTTGCATCAAGCGTGGCTGAACACATTTACATGTAATCATCAACACCGAGTCCTTCTCTCACATTTTTAGTTGCTTTGAGGTTTTAAACTCCTAAGGGTTAATAAACATCCTAATTCAAAGGCAGTTTCAACAAATTTGCTTCTTCTGTCTCTAGAGGAACAGTTTATTTAAAATATTGAGTGTCAAATTAAAATGCTCTCTATAGATATGTGTAAAATTCTAACTGAGCAGTTTAAAAGGCTCCTGTTAGAGACAGGTTAGTGATAAAGATCTCATTAACAGCCAGTTAGTGAACGGACTTTTAAGATATTTTTATCTGAAAGAGTATTCAACACAAACACTAGTATGGTGCATATGTTTATTTTATTAGTGCACAGTTAAAATCAGAGGAACTTTTCATGGTCTCAGCAAATTCTAATCTAGTTCTATAACAGGAGACTCGACATACAACCAGTGATCCAGAACTTTCTTATTTCACTCGAGATCTCCACACGCACTCATTTATGGTCAGACGTGATTAGCATAACCAACACAAATGGGACTGCCCTGCACAGTAACAATGAAATCCACTCATTTAGTGTTGACAAGATTAGATTTACAGACACTTGCTTTATCATAGTAGAGCAGAAATTGAAAGTGACACTGGTGAAAAAAAAAAGGGAGATGAGTAAATAATAAAGTGATAAAGGCGCTGATAATGGCTTCAGTTTATTATTCGATTTCACACAGATTGTAGCCAACCGATGGAGTCTGGTGGAGAATAAAGGGGGATTGAGATTATCTCTTGACGGGCTGGACGTTGGAGGGATGGAAGCAGGTGAGCTGGAGCTGCATGCTGCTCTTAAATTTGTTGAGCAGCTCCTCCAGTAACCTGGAGACCAAAGCAGATACAGAGCACATGATATTAGTCTGTTAAATGTGCTGCATGTACAGAAAAAACAACTTTTTAACTCACTTTTTATCAGCGCCGCTGTGCAACTGAGGCAGTGAGTCCAGAGCTTGCTTGAAGATAGTTCTGGGAAGAAAAAAAAAATCATATTTTATAAAAAAGTCCAGTTTATTACCCCTTTATTACCAGAGAATACAGTTCAGGGCAAGTCTATGCATATATCCTGACATGCACGCCAACCTACTTACATGAACACACAAGCCACACCACACAGCAGGCACACAACAGAACCAGATTACTTTCACTTCCTTTTCAGAACCCACCAACTAACATAAATAGGGATTGTAGTGAGGGATGTGCGACTGTTAGGATTTATGTCTCTGACATGCACAGCCATAAATCACCAGGTATGCATGTGTGAGAGCTGTACTCACTTGCTCTCAGGGTTTAAGTAAGCGGCCATGGCGTCCCTCAGAGCGCAGAGCTCGAGTCGGGCCTGCATGTCAAGCGGGGTGGGTTGGGGTGTGGTAGAGGGGGGGTTAGGTTAGAAAAAGAAGAAAAGAAAAAGAAAGACAAAGCAAACATGAAATCGAGCCACCATGTCCAACTGACAGCAGTTAGCAACTGAACTGAAATGTGGCATTATCAGAAACGAAAGGTGGATCCCCCCACAAGTCTGCTGTTGACTTATGAGTCAGGGTCTTACTATAAGTGAGAAACAGCTCATCTTGTGTATCTATCAGTGTGTACCTGCAGGGCTCCGTTCTTACTAAAGGAGGACACGCATTGCATTAGGCGACACATCTCATCTGCCACCGATTCCACGATTCTTGACAAAACCCGAGGAACCAGGTCCTTTGAGACGGTGAAGACCTGGAGCAGAAAAAAGAGAGTTTGAAAAAAGAAAAAGGAAGTGCACAAAAAAAAGGGTGTTTACATGGGTGTTTGTACCTCGGCATGAACGGCTATGATGTTTACAAGAGCTTCCTTCAGGTAGTTCCTCACGCCTGAGGGAGAAGAGGCAGGAAGTGAAAATGGAATAGCAGAAAATATGTCAAGGTTTTGCAATGCGAATTTTATTTTTAACATTCTTCTGCATTAATTAAACTAATAAAGCACATAGAGAAGAAAAATCTAGATCCGATTCCATCAGCACCATCTGAAGATTCTGAAACCATCCAAACTTGAAATTGGCTTCTACAGTATTTGCAAAAAATAAAAAACATTGTAAAATAATGCCGCCTGGGTTTTACTAGTTATTTTTTGACTTTTATGCTTTACTTAGTCTGAGGTTCAAATCTAAACATGTCTTAGAGATCATGCATTTTGTAATTCATAATTAAAAGTTTAAATAAAAACACAAATTTTATCTTCTGTAGTTGTTGAAGAACAAATTACCTATTTGAGATTATAAATTACTTAAAGACACTGAAATAGTGCTTCATTTAAGTGGTTTTAAAGATTATTTACAAGTTTGTTTTTAAAGTTCCTATTAACAGGAGGAAAGTTTATGATAGTGTAGAAGATTCAGGGTGAGATGTAAAATTGTGTTAGCAGGTTAAAACTAGGCATGTTAAATCACCTTTACCATCAGTATCTGCATCCCTGGTTAAAACACGTAGTGATACAGAGAACAGAAAGTGCATCTGAGTCAGATTTAAAGGGGTCTAGTCACATACTATACCTCTAAAAAAAAAAGCCCCCCAAAAACATATGCTCATGTTGAAATAAAGCAATATATAAAAAAAGCTCATAATAACTTTGTTGACTCAGTCCTTTTTGATTTAGAAAATAGTTTTTGCACCAGGTGCAAACAGCAGGCGTAAGCATTTTTGCCCATTGTTGTCATCTTCTGGCAGTGCATCAACTTGGCTGATTTAACTCCCGCCTCAGAGAACAATTGTATTCCAATAGCTACTCCTATCTTTTTCTTTTTGCTTTTCCACAGTTGATCTTCCACTTTTCCTCCTTTCCATACCTCTACTGAGGAAATTGCTTCCTTTTTCACTCATTGCCTGCATGTGCTTATCGTACTGTACCTCTGATAATATGTTTTTTTTTTCATGGTAAAAACTTTAAATGCAAATTTTACAATCATATGGACAAAAAGTAACGTGTGAAAAGAGAAATAAAATGTAATAAGCCAACAAATCCATTGCATGCAACTAAAATTAGCTACTTGCATAGAAATGTGTAAAGTCAACGTACACTAAAGAGTCCATTTAGTTGTTTATCCACTGATCTTAGACTTGGACTACTTTTATTGTCATTTTACACAGAGTGTATACAAAACCAAATTTCATTTTGAACAGCTGTCTTGACATTTCTTCAATTTCTTAAAGTGCAGCAGTAATCAAATGTAAACGGTGTGGGAGAAAAAAAACGTGCAAAAATGCATTAATATGAAAGTTTGATGCAGAGACTGTGACATGATTTAGAGTTTTTTCAACAGTTCTGCTGTGTGATGGCAGTGGGGAAGAAGCTGTTTCGGAATCTGCTGGACCTGCAGCGATGCTGCGAAGCATCTTCCCAGAGGGCAGCAGGGAGAACAGTCCATGGTGGGGGTGTGAGGGGTCATTTATGATGTTACGGGATTGGGACACACAGCGCTGGCATGAAATGTCTTGTATATAGGGAAGAGGAGCCCCTATGATCCTCTCTGCTGTTCTCATCACTCTCCTCACCTTCTTCCAGTCTGAGGTGCTGCAGCCTCCACACCGCACAGTCAGACAGCTGGTCGGAACGCTCCCTATGGTGCTTCTGTAGAAGGTCAGGATGGGTGGGGGCAGGTCGGCTCTCCTCATCCTCCGCAGGATATACATGCCCTTTTTTGCCCTTCTGACCAGTGAGGTGTTGTTTTGCAAATTGGCGCTATATAAATAAACTAAATGAATTGAATTACTAGCCACCACAGTCCTCATGTAAAAAAGGTCAAAGGTCATTATAATGCTGTAATTTTAGTGTTGAAACCATTGATTGACAGTATATATGTTATGATTGTGTGAGTTTTGCTGATTGTGGATAAGAACTACCTGCAGCCAAAAGGGCTTTTGTTTAAAAGGTTAAAAAGCACATTTCACTCTAAAAAGTGTGTTTATAAAGGCCACAGAAGGTTTGGTGTTTACAAAGCATGATATAATCCTCTGGGGTTCCTCAAAATGCTAAAATGCAAAGTAATTATCATGCAATAAAGGACTCTTATTGCATTGAAGAAAGTAGTACGATACCTTGCAGTGGCCTAAACTCTAATAGAAAGGGTTTTTGAAAACTAAATATCCTAAAAATAGTGGCTGCAGAGTCATTGAGTATTTCTCCAGATGACAGGAATCAGTCTGGTACTGGAAGCCAGAGGTGTATAGAGTGAAAGGAATTGGAGAGAGAACTGTCCCCTGTGGTGATCCCGTTCTGCTGACTGCATTATTAGACAGGTAAACCTTCAGTCTAACAAACTCTGTTTTTTAAGTTAGTCTTTGATCCAGGTGATTGTTGATGCCTCCACCGAGTTTTCTGGAGTTTCTCACAATGTGAGTCAGGCTGAACTGTGTTAAATGCACTGGAGAAATCAAAGAATACGATCCTCACAGTGCTGTCTGCCTTGTCTAAATGACAGTGGGTTTGTTGAAGCAGGTGTATGTAGCATCTTCAACTCTAACTCTACAGTGATAAGCAAACTGGAGGGGGTCTTTATAGCTGCTTGTTTGTTTTGTCAGGGCAACAGTAGGGGTGAGTATTGAAATGTGTGCTGCAATACAATATGTCTCACGATACACTATCACTAAATTGCAAAATCACTATATATTACAATATTTTACACAGCTATCAAAATGAAATGTATAGATAAAAAAGCAAGGGCTGCATATGTCCATCAGAATCCATGTTATTCGGGGTTTGAGTCAGTCCACGTCTTCAACTGTGACTGCCTCAACTAATTTCAGCTGCACATCATTCAATACCAGAGATAAAAAAAAATAAAAATAACAATCATGAGAAATAAATGATCCAATATCTGAATAAAGCTGGCTGAGCTACTTCAACATGCAGCTATTAGGTTTACTATTATCAACTGTTACTATCAACTGCTTAAAGAAATGCTTGTAATCAGCGGGTTTATGGTTAATTTACATGAATTGGAGTTTACAGGAATCAATTTCCAAAGCTGTGGAGAAGGAATTGTATACAAACAGGGCCCTTTTTTTCCATCAAAACAAAATAAATGGTATTAATCCATGTATAAGTTTAATAGGGTGTAAACTATCTACAGTTTTTAGCTTGCATTAAGAGGCATTATGGAGTTTTGTAATGATACTGCCGCCTGTGGCAGAAACATAAAACTGCTGCTCAAACTTGTAGCTAGCGCTCGAACTTCACAAGGTTTTTCTTTTACCTTTTTCACCTCAAATTGAGTAACCATTGGTGTGCTGGGTGCCAGTCGCCTCTCAGTATCCACAAAATCCATCTTTAATATAACGCTTCGATTGTTTGCTAGGTCAGACCCATTTAACAGGCTGGCATTATGTACATTTTTTACTTTTCAGTGAAAAATGTACATAATGCCAATTTGACAGTCCCCATATGTCACCAAACCAAGATATTTTAGCCAACAATGGGTTATTTTTTTTATTTGAAAGGCGTAACAACAAGCAGCCAAAAAAATAGAAGCAATGCAAACCAGTAACTGTTCTGGTGTTTTTAGTCTTTTTTTTTTCTTCTCTCATTGAGGAAGATTCCATGCGGTTAGGGGCCGGGGGTTAATGTGCAAACATTGAATGTTGAAAATATAACATCCAGTGAACTCTTGACAACGAAACAGCCAAATGCAGTAACAGAAAGAAAGTACTGAAACCGGATTTTTAATGCTTGCAGCACCCCACACGCTTACAGGAGTCCCACACAAAGAGCAACAAGTGAAAGTATCATATCCTAGAACAGTGGTTTAGAGTCCAAAATGTTCCGCTTTCACATGTGGCCGAGGCATACAAACCCTTAGGGGCTACAGTAAAAGCTCAAGGTTGTCATTAGGAAAGGTTATGTGATAACCTGCCTTCAACCCACCTGAAAAATGTAATACTCATGCTGTCTCACATCCTGTGTTCAAGATAAACCACGGATTTTACATTCACATTCCACCTGAGTTGGGAGTGCATCTGGTGATAGAAATGTCAAAGTAAACCTTTGCACACACACCCACAGATCCAACATAAAGGCCATGACAGCTTCAAGCAGAGCAGAAGAACAATTTTTACAGTAAGCCATCAAAGAGCTTTACTCCACACATGACACATATGAACCACAACTCTACAGATCAGAACACAGACAGCTAGTTCTCATGCTACATGACTCTTGGTGGCTTTTGTATGCTGCTGTCAGGGTCAGTTGGTGGTAGCTGTAGGTGCATTCCCTTCTCAAATATGAATCCTTGCTTTTATCAAGATAAAGAAGAAAATTGTCACTCGTCTACTACCTGTGGGTGTCTGGCAGTCTCTCCAGTCGAAGTATCCTGCATACATGCCGGGCTCTAGGGAACCTGCGATCGGATCTGCTCGTCGCTCAATGTAAGCTTCGAACAGGTTCCCGTCCAGCTCCCGAACAGCGTCCACACTCCCCTGCATCATCAGACATATAAACATAGACATATAAAACTTTTTATAGACATATAAATCTGGCATTATGGACATATAAAACTACACATGAGGGACTTATCCACTATTAAATATAAATAAATACAGTTTAATGACATTGAGTCATTATAAAAAGAAAGTATCCCTTCTCATAAAGCAAAGTCTATATATGTTAAAGTAAAAATATATCAAGAAACATTTCTTAGAAGTACTTAAATATAGCAAAGTAAATAAAACTCCACATCAGATTACTTACGAACCAAAAATTATGTATAAAAACACTTTAACAGTTTGGCTCCACCAACACAGCTGTTTAATTCTTTGTTGGGGGTGGATGGGTTCAGCCAATCTGTTATAGGTTTACTTCCATGTTTAGGATCAATGTTCTACTGATAACCTCGTTTTGACTAAGCTTAAACTGCTGGAAAAATAACAGATTAGTTACCCGAATTCATGTTCGAATGAATGATGGTTAGGTGTATAGCTCCTAAAATCAAGCTCACGCTATCGTTCTTTGACCACCATACCTGACAGGAGGTAGGAGGTCTTGTTGTTTGGTTTTCTACAAACATAATGCCGTGCATTAAGCTGTGTTTTAGGGCTGAAACAATTAACTGAATTAATCAATAATTTAAATTATTGTCAGCTAAGTCAGCAATCGATTAATTGTGTAGAGATTCTAAAACACGCCTTTAGTTAAGAGAGCAACCAACTTAGAGCAGTAAAAAAAGTATAAACATTTTGCACTTAAGAAATCCAAAATGTTTCTAAAGAAAAACTCATTTGTCTGTCAATATGCTCTATCCAGAACTCCTCAAGTGGAAAAGTTTTAGTTTCACTAGGTTTAATTCTGTAAAAAAAATCTTCCTTAAGGAACCTTTGGTTATCTGATTATTACTCGATTAATCGAACAAACAGTCGAATGATTAACTGATTAGCAAAGCAATCGTTACTTGCAGCCCTACTGTGTTTCAGTCAAAGCCAAGTCATCCTGCCACATATGCTTTTTCCATAAAACTGTTCTCTCAGCTCAGCACTGAATTTGCTGGATTACGTTTTACTTGGAAATTTGCAAAAGTTTTACAAGTTTTCCGGGTGTGAGTAATTTTTCTCACTTTAGACTGATAGTCTTTGCATAGTTTAGAAACGGCATTGAATTTTTTATAGCAGCACTCTTATCTGACATTATTGATATCGTCTTTCCACCATTGGATGGTTTTAACATTTGCATGAATTTAGCGGAGCTGACAAAACTGCTGTGATAAAGTACACACACTTAGTAAAAGTTTGCTGTTATTTTTTCTCTTAAGTTCTACTTAAGCAGCAAACGTGTACTTAAATATTTACAGACATCTGTTTTCTTAAAACATGGTTAAAAAAATATCAGCTCATAAAAAATGTCAGCTTATAACACTTCTGTTATCAATGTTTTCCAAAAAATAACACTAAACTATCCCCTTCGTTGGTATTTGTGCTTTTACATGTGTGATCTGTGCATGTGTGTATCTATTTTTATTTATTTTTTGATATGTTAACATTGATAATATGTCACAAAGTACTGCAGGATTAAGATAATTACTAGGATTTTTTTTCCTAGCTATTTTAACCTTTGAGGAAAACAATCGTTAGACTACTATTATGTTTTCAACATATTAATAAGAGTCTAAATCAAGCTTTCAAAGAACATTGTGATCAACTGTTTTTACTGGAAAATCAACCGAACTCTTATTTTCTATGTGATTCAGCCATTAGTCATTGTGTGCCATTTTGCGAATGTGTCTGTGTGGCTGAAGAGAAAGTGGTGAAAAAGTGGAAATGATCTTTGAAGACAATGACATTTACCTTTTTTTTTTTTTTTTAACTTAGGAGTCATCACTTTGCTGAGAAATAGAACCTTACTGATCATCTTTGTTGATCATAACAACTCAGCACACTTCTCATCAGATTAACAGCAATGTATGGGTATCCAGTCCTCTAGCTGATGTTCTTATACTTTTTTTTTTAAAAGAGTCAGAGGATTAGTTACTGACCCGGTTGATCTTCTCCGTTCCCGTCAAGCCGTGCTTCTCAAAGTGGTCAGCCAGGTTCAGGAAGGTGCGTCTTTCCAGGTATTGGCAGTTACTAAGGATGATCAACAGTCTCTGCTCCTACATACAAAACCACCACAGGCTTAATATTTGTCCATGTTCTACAATAAAGCTTAAGCCATTTACTTTGCACTAAAAAGGGAATTTTATCAGGGGTTCTTATGTGTAAATTTCCATTTATTCAAGAATTAAATCAACAGAATGTCACAAAAAGCAAACACACTCTAGGAGGCATTGGTTCATAATAAGCGATAAATCCCATAATTAGGTTAATCACAAAGGGAAGCCATTGATTAACTACTTAACAATACAAACATAATAATGTATCCATCCTAAGATAAACGATATATTATATTCATCTGCATGACAGTGATCAAAATACATGTGGAAAAAGTAAATTCTCAGACTGATGACAGGAATATATGTTAAAAATATATATTCAGAAACAACACCAAGACTTCAATTGGATGTTTGTGTGTTTTCCCTCTGTAATGATTTGGACTCTTCTATACAATAAAGATGAATATAGAATAAAAGTTTAATTTATATTGCATCTAGTCACAAAATACATCAGCAAATAATCAGATAAGTACTACTTACCCAAACAATTATCAAGACATCAAATGCATGTCATGTTTGTTAATTATTATTAATTGTTAGGGGGAGTGGCGGCCTAGTGGTTAGGGAAGAGAGGTTCTGAGTTCACTCTGGGTTCCTGAGCAAGACTGTTAGCCCCACACTGCTCCCTGGGCGCCCCAGTGCTCCCAAAGTGGATGGGTTAAATGCAGGGGTAAATTTCTCCAATGTGAGATCTATACATTTCAATTATTATTATTATTAATCCATCTCAAAGAATATTTAAGCATACCCACAAGCATGCAGCTTGTTTTTCCCTTTCCCTTTTAGTAACGTAAAAGAAGAACATTAATAAAAAAAAACAAAGAAGAGTCACTTGTAAATAGAGGAAAAGCTGCAGAGATCCAAAGCCCATTTGTTGGTAGTAAATTTAATAGTAGGGCTCTATGAAAGAGAAAAACCACTGAAAGAAAGTTCTGTTTGCAGATATCCACGAGCCATGTAAGGGGGCGCAACACACATCAAAGGTTCTCTGGTCAGAAGAGACCAAAACTGAACCATTTTCATCTACATACAAAATATTATGTGTGGTGGAAACTAGAAATGCACAGACCAATTTTTTGGTGGAAACTGACACTGCAGAATACTAAATCCCCTGAAGTGAGGCTGTAGGTGGAAATATTGCATTGCTTCAGAAGAGATGGAGAAAATAATCAAAGCTATCAAAAATAATTGGAAGACAGATGGAGAAAAACACATAGGAGAAAATCTATGAGGCATATAAAAAAAAATGAATAAATGGTGATAAAGATTTCCCTTTCAGCTGGTCTAAAGTCACAGTCTGGACCTAATCTTAATTACCTGCATGTCCGTCTGTCTGTGTAGAGGATAACCTGAGCAATTATGGACGGATTTTAATGATATATTTTCTCAAAGGTGTCCCTCATGCCAAAGAACAATCCATTACATTTTGGTGATGATTCAGATCATAATCTGGATACAGGAATTTTCTAAAAGATTCTCTTAACATTGTGAGATCGGGATATGTGGCGGAACAAGCAGTTCCTCAGTTCCCCTTACAACAACATGAGGCTTCAAAAGATAAGAAGGAGAGGCAAGAATAGCAGTTCTATAAAAAGAACAAAAACAAAAAAACACTAATTTAATGTTAGAAATAATGGATACGTTTTTTGATTTGTGGTTTTTGCTCCAGAGGTTTTGGACAACTTTTGTAAGTAGTCATTGTCTATCAATCGCTGCCTCCCTACGTCACAAAGACTACACTAAAAACTGTGTATGGAGATAAGTTAAATTTAACTTGTGTTGTTTGTTTATATTTCCAGAGTTTTATTGAGTCAATATGAACTCTGTCGTGTTCTTAAAGAACGTGCGCATTTCTATCAATTGTTGTCTTAATTAAACCACTTCCCCCAATTTGTTTTCAGTCTCACATTCTACAAACTCACAACAACCTCTCTAAAAGAGCACAGACACATATACACTTAAAAACAAGGTCTAGCTCTTAGAAACAGAGAGATAACTGAGAGATAAGCTTATTTTGTGCCAACCACAAGAGCTGACGTCACTACAAGCCCTTTTTGCCTCTCATTCTTCAGGCCGGCAGAGATAAGCACCTTTAGTGGGTTACAGAAACCTAACATCTATAAATGGCTGATCCGTTCACATCTTTGAATGATTTTTAAAGCAACTGGTTTCTGATTCTCAAAACAAATAGTTTCCAAATATGAGTGAAATTAGTCTCAACTCTGGTCATCCACAAGAGCTCCGCTGCCAAACTCCTGCTGCTCTCACTGATGCTGGGGAAACCCCTTCTGCACCTTGCTCTATTTCCCGTTACAAGAAGCACCCCGTACCCTCCTCTTCCTCCCATCCTCCTCCCATGCGTTTTACCCCTCCACCCCCCTCCCCTCCCCTCCACCACCAGCACTACCGCCAACAACAACTCAACCAAGTTACAGGAAACAAGGACGTATCTGCTGCTTGTCCACAACCAGGAAACAGCCTGATAAAAATTTTGTGGTTCCAGGGACTGAGTTGTGTGTTCGTCTCGTTGTGTTACATAGAGCCCACGCTCTGGTGACTTTACCAGGCGCAGGCTAGCTCTAGGATTTCAGGCCTTTAAAATAAAAAATAGTAAATGGTAAAAAAAAAAAAAAAATGTGCTTACAGATGTTGGGATGAATCCCTCATGGATCCTGGAAAACCGATCTGGAGAGGACAGGTCCACTGAAATGTTGCTGGACAGACGAGATATGTTTTTTTGTTTCAGGAGCGACCACAATAAAGAGAAAGAAAAAAAAAAAAAAAAAAACAATCAAAGTACTCACTGAGATACTTCAAAGTCTTCATCCGCCTTCCTACTCAGCTGTTCCAAACAGTTTATAAAAACCTAAGGTGAGCACATGGAGATGCACGTCACTTCCATAAACATCAAAGCTTTCAGCTTCAGCCTTATGACTTTCAGTGAACCGAAAAACCATGACAAACAATGTGATCAATACACAAAAAAACAACAACAAAAAAACAGAAGAAAGTGGGTCTTCTTAGCATGTTATGTATCTAATTAAATCAGTTGGTGGAATCAGACAACATTCATATTATTAAACATTAAAAATGTGTAAATAATCTTTGGTGTAAGGTTTTTGTGTTTTGCCCTCCATTCAGTGCCTCCATTTTAGCAGTCACTGGCAGAGGTCAGTAGAAAGGTGAGTAAGATTAAACTTCATGTAGCAGCTTATGCTCTATTTGAAGTTTCTTAACCTTTTCACACAAATAATATTCTACTGCTCCACTTGTGGTTTTCTTAGGAATGTCTATTAAGGGTTGTGGTTTTTAACATTTTGGTTAAAAAATAAAAAAAACCCAAACAAATCCGAAAAACAAAAACAAAAAGTCAATGATTCATGCAGATCTGTGCAAATCCTTGCAATTTTGCCTAAACCCATTTGTCGACATGCACAGCTGTGTATATGTGTAAAAAAAGAGAAGCCAGAGACACTTTTGCGTATGAACGGTTTTTGTTGGAGAAAATTTTCAAAAACAACAATCAGGGGTGTGAAGACTGATGACAGGAAGCGGCTAAGATTTTGAGGACAGAGGAAAGTGAGTTTTAGCCTCATTGCTAACATTCAAGAAATGGGTCTATTAAAGTTAAACGCAGGTTATTAAAGTCCACAGGTGTTTTCTAAAACATTTTACCTTCATGATGTTCACGCTGAGCTCTGTTGCCTGATCCTGGACCTGGTCTAACTGCAACACCTTAAAGATACAGAGGAAACAAAGCAAGGCTTGAGATTTGTTTTTTACATGCTTAATATAGTTTTGTTTTTGTTTTTTTTCACTTTTACAGGATAAAATAACCTTTATGTTTCCAAAAGTTGCTTTGAGGAATTTGAAATATCACTTTCATTAATTTTCAAACCTACATTGATTTCTCCTGGTTTAATTTCCAGCGGCTCCTTCAGCGACTGCAGCATTTGGACCATGCACTGTTCAAACTTGGAAGGCTGCAAAAATGTCAAAGAAAAAAGGTGAGAAGAATTCAGGAAGATGCAATAAAGATGCACTGAAGGAAATGTTTCAGAGAAAGTCGGACTGAGGGCAGGCTGTAGTTTTTTTTCTGTGGTTTTTACTACAATCAGCTTATAACCTAAACAAACATAAGCAATAAGGAGGTATTACTAGCTCGATAGGACGGTTATAAAGTTACAGAGAGTCTAACATTTGACTAGAACATTTTTCCTAAAAGGAGCTTGTGGTTGATTTAATAACAACAACGTCCCCAGTTCCTGCTGCCACACAGAAACTCTGCACCATCCTGGCAGCTTTGCAAACCAAACACATTCGGTTATATTGTCTAAGGAAAGATGAGACCTTCACCTTCAACACTTCCAAAAACCAACAGACTGGTTCTTTCTTCTTTTTTTTTCTAATTAAAACTAATGAATGTAGACACACAAACTGAGATAGGTTGAATTTGAGATGGAGCTTTGAAATTTTTTTAGAATTCTTTAACTATTCTTTAAACTATTGCATGGGTTAATTTAGTGGAGTTTCTGCCTTTGTGGAGATTAACAACCAGGAAAAAATTGTTGTCTCTGTAAAACTTATCAGTACACCTTCAAAAAAATTGCCTTGTACTAATTTCAACTCCTAAATCCACACAATGTAGGAAGATTGTAATGAGTTTTTCATATTTACTACATTTTGTACACTCCTGTTCAAATCTAAATAATCAAGAAACTCTTTTAATCAGTATTCCACAGAATACTGAAAGGGGTTTTAATCTGATAAGCTTTGGCTCATTTGGTTTTCTTTTCATCAAGAGTGGAGTTGACACTCAAATATTGGCTTTGGGATGTCATAAAAATAAGAATTAACACAAAGTAATTTGAGTAGAATTCGATAAAAGGCACAAAACTCATGTGCAGTAGGAAACTTATATTCATATTATTGCATTTCTACAAAAATGACTACACAATAAAATGTCTTGCTTTTCTTCATAACAAATGGATTCAATTCCAAACTACTAAACTAATCCCTAAACTGTAATGAGATCTGATTAGATTCTATTAAATATAAAGCACTTATATCACAGAATACTAAAAATGAAATTATTACTGAATCAATTGGGGAACTTGGTAATAAAAAAAGTGAAGAAGACTGAGCTGAGTGATGCTGAGCTCGATCATGAATCTACAGCTTCTAGTTCTATGAAACTGAGCATTGCTTGGTGCCGTCGTAACACATTCTTACCAGACTGGTGATTCCCTCGTTATCTACAACCCAATCTTCCTTTTCGGCAAGCCTCTTCACATCTAAATGGGTTAGAAGCACACAGGAAATTACATTGAAGTGTTAAATAATTTACCGAACATGAATCCATTATTTGATACTAAAAACAGAGAATAAGGTGTTTCTGAAGAAAAAAAACAACAAAAAAACACATCATGACAAATACAATTTATCTTTCTGCATAGGGAACAGTTTGCTTGGAGTTGAGTGCGAGCGATGGGACACGGGTTTAGGGAGTTCAGTGAAAACCAGTCACGCTTCTCAAAATGACCATCCCTAACCACAAGTGAAACTGAACATGTCTGGTTTTGGTCTCATAACACTTTCTCCATTATAACCCTGGAGGTTGCTATATATATATATATATATATATATATATATATATATATATATATATATATATATATATATATAAAAACAAAATTGACATTTATTTAAAAAGAAATATATTGCTGATTTTTTTTTATTTTTACAATTTACAACCGAAGAAATTCAAGCAACTTGTGACAAAAAGCTTCATGCAGTAAGAAAACAAAAGTTTTGTTTCTTGCAATATTTTCTTTAACAAATTATTGTTATCCTTCACATCATATAACAGCTGGATAATATGCTTCAGTTTCAGTGACTTCCCTAATTCATTTCCTGTTAAGTATTTTGGGACATCTGTGTTAAAGTGCAACATTCAAATAGTCATTTCTTTTCTTCTAGTATGAAATAGTAAGTAAAGAAAGAAGCAATACATGTTACAAGTTACAATACAAGTTTCAAGATGGGTTGAAACTTGCAACGGATTTTTTTATGTATTTCTAAGCAGTTCTCCATGTGGGATTACCTGAAAAACTATAAAGATATCATACGTCATAGAATATGATTTTATTGCAGTGGCATTATGTTATATCTAAAATTTGAAAAATCTAAAGCTTTCATTTAAATGTCATTTATTTTAAAATGTCCAAGTTTAAAATTCTAGGTAGGCGTTTCTACCTGGAACAGCTCTTATTCTGCAACCAGACCGAAGACTTGTACCTTAATATTTGGGTTTACCACTTGCTTCGCAATTACCATTTTCATCTTTATATTTTTTTGGTTTTATTTTTCATTTCATCACAGTATTATGTTGTGACACTTCAACATTTTTCTTAGTAAAATTATAGTTACTTTTCAACTTCTTAAACTTCTATTTGCAATAGATTTTCCAGTCTGTGCTGAACGACTTGTAGTTATATTTAGTTTGTTGTGGATAATATGTTTCCTGTAATGAAGCTTCAGTTGCTCTTTAACAGCTTTAAACTATTTTGTCACTGCAGATTTAGAGACTTGGGTTGATTCCTTAATTGAGTTCATGAACATTCGTCTTTCCTTGATCCTAAAATCATTAGCCACCAATTAAAGCATTTAGCATATTCTTTGGATGCATATATCTACATTATTTTACTTTAAAAATAGATTTAAGTTTTTGATAACAATAGTTGATTTTTTCTGAAACAAAATTAAATAAGAATGTGTCAAAGTTTTGATTCAGGGGTTAACATAAAGTGCAGATGTTGACTGAAAGTGCAGTGAATGTTGCAGCGTAACTAAAATTCTAAAAAAAACAACTCTGCTCCTCTGTTTCTCTCTGTTCCTACAAAGAGTAATAAAAAATAAACTGTCCGCTTTCAGACATAAAAGGGATTTGATCAGATGCAGCCGGTTGAATGGGGAACCGTTCCCCATTTATTTTCCATCGTCTCACCTTCTGACGTATGGAGCAGAGTCACCATCAGGCAATGGACCCTAAGCTCTAGCAGCAGGTCCTGGATCACCTGCAGCAAATCAATGGGGATCTCCAGAGTCGACAGCGCCTCGTGGCAACCCCTTTGAGAGACGTAAATATTAGACAACCAATAATAATGCGACACAGAGGAAACCCCAACAGGGACTGAGTCCGCTGTCAGGAGGCTTAGGGGGGTGAGAACCTGACAGTATGGATGATCTGAGTAAACCAGGCTCCGGTCAGCTCCGTCTTGTCCTCCCAGCCCCCGTAAACATTAAGCTCTCCTCGTGGCAGAGTGGTGGGGAGAAGAGCACCGCGAATGAGCTTCACAAGCCTGTTTGTCAGCTCCTCAATCATTTTCTACAAAAAAACAAAAAACAAAGAAAAAAAAAACAGATGTGCAAACCTGATATCATAATTTAAAAATTGGAGCTAAATTCTGAGCAAAATCAGAGCCTCGTACTTTAAAATCGTTCTGTCTCTGTCGGGCATTCTTCTTGGATTTTTCCACATGGCCAGATTTCTCTCCAGTCTGCAGGAAAAAAAAATCTTATTTGTAAAGCAGTTAATTAAGAGAATTGCTATGGTAAATGAGGAGACCGTAAACTCAGTGAAACATTTTCTTCCTTAAACAATGGTACCCACTGACAGACAGACAGAGGATAACTTTCCAGTTTGTTTCGCGAGTCTGGAAAAATATAGCGCTTTACATATTTCTGCATCTGGAACAGCTTACGATGTTTTCAATGATATCACTGAGCCCATTATGGTTTAGTTCTGGGAAACATCTTTTGAGATTTAGATCAGGGAAAAAGTTGTTCCTGGAAATGCTGCAAAACATCCATGCCCATCACTACAAATACATATCCAGCATCATCAAGGAATATTACAAAGCATTCCGAGTTCACACGGGTTATAAATCTCATTTAGCAAGTTGAGAGACTCCCCAGGAGGACAGACACTATGAGAATAAAAGAGTGAACAACGCAGAGCTAGAAGACATGTTCACCTTGAAACATGGTGGTGGTAGTATCATCCTGTGGGTAAAGCAATAAATACTAAACTTTTCCCTAGTGGTTCAGTGTAAAGTGTCTTTAAAATGCCTCTGGTTTAGAATAATGACCTTTTTTAAATTGAAAAATCTCATTAGCAAAAAAAAAACATCATATAGAAGCAAATCCATCAACAAAAGCCTAATCCAAGCCGACTTAAGTGGCATTAAACATGTTTTTTCGTGATCAGTATTTTGGATTATTCCAGGGGCTAGAATATAAAAATAGGGGAAAAAATACAGCAGGTTCTTCACTGTAGGCAGGAGGTTTGAATCAAACAGGAAAGGAATATTACAGCATTATCCTTGTTCAATCATCAAAGAATGATATTCCTAAGCTAATATTTTTGATAAATTGAAAAAGGGTGGCTAGGACTGTTGGTTGAAGACTGAAAACATCTGAGCTTCTTAATTTTGATGCACTTATGAGATTTTTTTGTTTTTTATTGTCCCTGGTGCATCGGTGAATCTAACAGTTTTTTTTTATGATGAAGCCATTCATTTAAACTCTAGATGCTTCTGCAGTCATTACCTCGCTGAAAAGACTTCCATTGACGTAGGAGATCCACAGCTTCCAGAAGTTTGGCAGCTGACCAATCACCACGTCCGAGAGTTTCTCCACAAACTGCACCTGCTGTGGGGTTTCAAAGAGCCAGGCTGGAAGAAACAAAAGCTTTTATTCACACAAACTCAAAGCTGTGTCACAATGTGTGGGTAATTACACAACAGACGCCTTCCAGGAAGACAAATATTCTTGTTTGTTTACGGCCATACTGTATTGGTTGATAAGAGGAGATTCCCCTAAGCACTGTATATGACAGAAAGTGTTACACACATAAACACCAGTGTAGGGGCAGGGAAGCCCCTCCACAGCGCCTCGTGTGTGGGTGATTTTGCACTCACTGCTCGGTCGCTGGTAATGCATGCTGCCCCCTCTTTTCAGAGATGAAGACTGGCCGAGTCTGCCAAGCGCTGCCGGGCGGGTATCCCCCTCCAGGTCCAGACCTCCAGCCCCCACTAATGGCAACAGACAGACACATACTTTAGATATTAAATAATCAAATAGCCTATATTTCTAATTCCACATTCCTCAATAAGCTGAGAAGGTTTTCACACCAAACAATCCTTCCTTGTCTTGTCTTTATTTATGTTCTGATCCGGAGCCACAGTTTTGAGAACGTCCAAGTTTTTCCAGGGAGTAAAGTTTTGTATCAGCAGGGGTGAAGTGAGTTTAAAGTGTCTCCACTGTCCTCATTGGCATCCACTAGATGGCACCAGTGAGCCACAGAACTGGATTGAATGATGCAGCACTGCAGCCACATGGTCAAGTCCCATGAAGTGACATAACTTTGGTGAAATTAATCTGGAAGAAAGCTTAAAGTTAACAGCAGGAGGGGTGAAAGTTACCAAACAGGAATGAAAGTGAAACAGCAGCAGAGCTGAGAAGGGAGCAAAGCTGCTGCAGTGAAAATGAAACTCGGGAGACAAGTTCGTGCAAACGCTGCAGAACGCCTACATGGAGTTTGTCTAAACGAAGGGAGACGGATGGCCACATTTCCAAAACATGTGTCTAACACACACACACACACACACACACACACACACACAGAGAAAAGTGCACCAGTGAGTCATCGGCTGAATGCAGTGAACTAGCGAGTATTGAGAAATCCCCCAAACAGAGCAGCAAATGTGGTTTAGATGGCCGTGCACACAACACAGCAACCTAGAAAATGTAAGGAAATTCTCATTTGAGTCAGACCATCTGTAAACACATCTCACACACACACACACAGTTTTCCTGTCTTCTTAAAGGGATGAGCGCTGTTGTTGATCCAGGTGTTGGAAGTAAATGTGGAAGTCTGCAGATTTGAAGCTCTGTTTGCAAAGCTGTGTAGTCAAAATTTAAGTTATGGCTTATGTATCTCCACATTTAAAAAGACCATAACCATAAACTTCAATATATTTTATTTACATTTAAATGTGTAGCTATTTATAGGAAAGATTTTTACTAATGAAAACCATCTCCGATATGCAAATGAATCCCTTTTACTTTGTGATGTCTAAAAAAATAGCAAATTATTTCCTCCAACAAAATCAAAACATTTAACCATCTAATATCGAGCTGTTCAACCTATCAAATCCAAAAATGAAAGGAGTTTTGCACAATTACAAAACCTACTGATGCACAACTGTCTGACGGAGTGAACAGATGAGGCCAAGAAAGTATTTCTCTAGAAGCTACCATGATAGAAACTCTGAAGGAAACAAATTTGGCATTTCTGAAGGATGGAAGGACGACACACATCCCTGAACACTCCACCCCCCCACCAGGAAGTATGGATGTAGCCTGATTATCATGTGGGAATAATAGGTAGATACTAGGGGTGTAAATCACACCCATCATGGCGATTTGATTCAGTATCGATTTCCTGACCCAACGATTCAATTATTTTCGATACTCAAGAATACACCACGCTACGATTCGATTCGATTAATTGGTTCATTTTTTTTCCCCGTTACAGGCTAGACAATGTTTTAAATTTGAAATACATCAAAGAAAGCTGTAATATCGTTATGTATTTTATTTTTGTGAAACAACAGCAAATAACAGAAGTAGAAAAATTGTACTCCACCTATTGCTATTAAAACCTCATTCACTGAAAAATAATAATGCCCCTGAGTTATAGATTCTGAAAGGCTTTGCATCAAAAAATACTGCACAAAATCAGTGCAATGAGCGCAATGCAATACCTCGGCTCCAGAGTGTCGACGTCTCTGTCCCATCCGCAGACACTCTGCTGCACCTCTCCCAAATTGTAGCTGACCGCAGACAGTGCCCCAGACAGGAGGCCAGCTTGTTTTGTTTTTATGACCAAAATTGCGGAAAACAACTCATGAAGTTTGACCAGCTAGAAGAGTGAGGTGCGCGAGAACGCTGAGACCCTTTTTCCACCTGGATTCCCGCTCATTTTCGCCCTCATGTCCCTCCGTTGTCAGACTAACCTCGCCCCCACCTCCTCTCCGCCTCAGCCGTATCTAGACCCACAGTGTGTAGCACAGACCACGCTTCAATATTGGGCATAAATCAAAAATGTCTGTGTCAAGCTTACTGCAACAAACTGCTTTAAGAGTATAACCAGGAAGCGAGGTAGGGGGGCAAAATAGTTTTAGCGCCACCGCAGCACGGGAGGGAGAATTACATCCAGGAGCAAATAGATAAAAATAGACTGGAGGAAAAACATGATTCGATACTCTTGCGGACTTATCGATGCATCGGATCGTCTGCTGTTGGATCGATGCATCGATACAAAACGATTATTATTTACACCCCTCGTAGATACATGGAACTAAATATAAGGCAACTCTAGAATCCTGTGGAAGAGTAATCATCAGAAACCCGCATTATTTTTCTTCCACATGACATTTAAGTGTTCTTTATGTTTGTATGTCCCATAAAATAAAAGATGAAAGCATTAGTTGTAACACCCTTAAAATATGAACTAATACTAGTGTGGAAAACATTGGTGCAATATAAATAAACAAACCTAAAATGCAGCATAAAACTCAAAAGTAGTGTCTTGTTTTAGGTTTTCTATATTACATGTCTTCCTTATTGGGGTGATGTTGTGAAATGCATCCACTTAAGGAGAGAGTTAAACAACATTAAGACAGATCGTTTCAGAAGATTCTTCCTGACGACAGCAATCAACAATTCAACAACTTGTTTAAAAAAAAACAACAGAAAGTTAATAGACTTTTTAAATTCCCTTTGATATCGAGTAATTATTTTTGCATTGAATGACAATGAAACATTCATTTTATAAATGATTTGGGCAGACAGCAGCAGGGCGATTTGCTGGAAGCGTTTAGCCATAAGGAAGCAACTTGTACTGCTACGCCTCTTCACAAGAAAATACTCCAAGTTTGTGGTTTTAATAAAGATGGATGGCTCCATTTTGTATTTAGAACAATTTAGCGAGCGTTTAATGAAGCAACAAATGCTAGAACGGCCTTTGGTCTCATAATCCTGACTTTGAAGCACAGGAGAAGGAAAAAATGATTTAAGCTTTTGCAGATACAACTAACCCGTCACGGTCAGATTGTGATCCCTGCCATGTGTGATTGAACGTGATTCAAGCCGGAAGAGGAAGCAGCAAGCAGAGGGGATGGTGGAGGCACCCCTCAGAGGCTGAAATGTGGCAAGGTGAGCAAGGCGGGGAGGAAGAGTGGGGTAAGGGGAGTGGAGTGGATGTGGTTTTGTGATGATGGCCGTTCAGGCGCTGGCTGGGTGGAGAGACGTTTCATGAGGTTTCACACAGTTAAGACAGTAAACAGCAACCAGGTGTGTGTCAGAGGAGAAAGGAGGGAAGAGGTGAAATGTTAGCAGGAAAGAGAATGACCTAAAGGCTGAAAGACAAAAAAAGGAAATTAAAAACAATCCACTGGACTTTATTTCCAAGTTTGAAGACATTTTGCTTCCCATCCAGGAAGCTTTTTCAATTAAAGATGTCAGGAATAGTGTTGAGTTTGGGGTTCTATACAGTAGCCCTGGCAGTTGGCCTGGCTGCATAGGCGAGGTTCTCCGCTCTCCTGTACAGGACTTCACCTATTCAGCCAGGTCATTTCGATTTGCATGTTTCCAAAACAAAAGCAAGGCTTTGTTGGGCTACCGTATAAAACCTCGAACTCAACGCTATTCCTGACATTTTGAATTAAAAAGCGTCCTGGATGGGAAGCGAAACGTCTTAAAACTTGCAGAGTCCAGTGGATTGTTTTTAATTTTCTTTTTTGGAATAACTATCACCTGGATGACTAAGAATCTTCACCTGCATCAAAGGTGACAAACACTGATAGAAATAACAAGCCAATGAAATACCATAATTCGTTTTGATCAGAGGCCTTGCATATAAAAGATGTGTATGCCTGAAACTTGTGTTCTTCCTTATCATTCCGACCAAAGGTGATAAAAAAAACAGACTTGATGTGAAAATGTGCGGTCATTCACTTAAACTCTGAGCCATGCTTACGCTCAATATTAAGAGGAGAACCTGGTAATGCCAATGGTGAGATGGGTAACTAAGTTAGACAGCTGTGAGGCATTTAGTTGTACTCTATATAAGAATTCAATCGTAGGCTGAATTCTTTATAATTTTTATAAACAGTGTAATATATCCTTGCAATGGTGAGCAATAAATATGCACGAGGACCTGTCACATCAATAAAAAAGTACTGGCACTGCTGAAAGATCATACAAATGGAATTTTTGTGTGCACAACTTCAAATGGAAAGTGTAGTTGGGTGCACATATCTACAACATACAAATAAGAATTATACATTTCATAGAAACAAAAAAAATGACAAATTTTAGCAACATTATTGCAGATCTACCTATTGAAAATGAGCACACTTAATAAAATTAAGACCATTATAGACAACTGTGAGCATTCTCTTCAGAAGACTATTTAACAACCACAATCATAGGCTTCTTTAGATCTGGTGCAAAACAGCTACAGAAAACGCTTCCTGCGCATGGTTCTATAAATCTGTGTTTTTTTTTAGGCTGTAGATCATTTACATTGGTGTATCTACACTTTTAGTATGGGTTTATACAAGAGGAGACCCAAAGCTATACAGGATTATATTCAAACTAATGCAGTCACTTATCACTTTTAAGGAAAATCTTGGCTACTTCACGCTGAAAAAACAGACTCCTATTTATTTTGAGATAAAAGAGGTGTCCGCTGCAGGTTAGTTACACAGACACGTCTATAAATAACATGCATGCATTTTCGTTTTGCTTTAAAATCTTAATAATAATGATTAAGGATCTTAGCAATGAAGTCAACTCGAAACTTCAGCAGGTCAGAAAGGACGACCATTCTTGAAAGAAATTTACGACATTTCTACAGTTTTTCCCAAAACTTGGGTTTAATTTTGATTTTATAAATTTCTACACAAACACTCTTGCTTTGCTTTTGTTGCAGTTTATATTAGGTCTGGGTAATATGGAGCTTAAT